TGAGGCCTCTGAGCCTGTGATGGGAGGGGCTGTTGTGAAGACCTCTGACATGCCCTGGAGACATTTTTCCCCATTGTCTTCAGGATTAACATTCAGCTCCTTGTTACTTATATAAATTTCTGCAGCTGGCTTGAATTTCTCCTCAGAAAATGGGATTTTCTTTTCTATTGGGTTATTAGGCTGCAAATTTTCTGAACGTTTATGCTCTGTTTCCCTTATAAAACTGAATGCCTTTAATGGCACCCAGGTCACCTCTTGAATGCTTGGCTGCTTAGCAGTTTCTTCCGCCAGATATCCTAAGTCATCTCAAGTTCAAAGTTTTACACATCTCTAGAGCTGGGGCAAAATGCTGCCAGTCTCTTTGCTAAAACGTAACAAGAGTCACCTTTGCTCAAGTTCCGAACTAGTTCCTCATTTCCATTTTAGACCACCTCAACCAGGACTTTATTGTTCATATCATTATCAACATTTTTGTCAAAGCCATTAAACAAGTCTCTAGGAGGTTCCAAACTTCCCTACATTTTCCTATCTTCTTCTGAGCCCTCCAAACTGTTCCAACCCCAGCCTGTTACACAGTTTTAAAGTCACTTCCACATTTTTGAGTATCTACAGCAGTGCCCCACTCTACTGGTACCAATTTACTGTATTACTCTGTTTTCATGCTGCTGATAAAGACATACCTGAGACTGGAAAGAAAAAGAGGTTTAATGGACTTGCAGTTCCACATGGCTGGAGAGGCCTTATAATCATGATGGAAGGCAAGGAGGAGAAAGTCACATCTTAAGTGCATGGTGGGCAGGGAAAGAGAGATCTTGTGCAGGGAAACTCCCATTTTTAAAACCATCAGATCTCATGAGACTCATTCACTATTACAAGAACAGTGTAGGAAAGACCTGCTCCCATAATTTAATCACTTCCCACTGGGTTCCTCCGTGATATGTGGGAATTGTGGCAGTTGCAATTCGAGATGAGATTTGGGTGGGGACACAGAGCCAAACCATATCACCTGCTGAAAGACATCTCGGTTACTTCCAAGTTTTAGCGATTATGAATAAAACTTCTGTAAACATCTATGTGCAGGTTTTTGTGGGAATGTAAGTTTCACTTCTTTTGGATAAATACCAAGGAGTGCAGTTGCTGGATCTTATAGTAAGAGTATGTTTAGTTTTGTAAAAAAACTGCCAAACTGTCTTCCAAAGTAGCGGTATTATTTTGCATTCCTACCACAGTCAATGAGAATTTCTGTTGTTCCACATCTTCACCAGTAGTTGCTGTTGTCAGTGTTCTGGATTTTGCCCAAATAGGTATGAAGTAGCATTTCATTTTTCTTTTGTGTTTCTCTGATGACATATAATATGGAGCATCTTTTCATTTGCTTATTTGTCATTTGTATATCTTCTTTTTTTTTTTCTTTGGGACGGAGTTTTGCTCTTTTTACCCAGGCTGGAGTGCAATGGCGCGATCTCGGCTCACTGCAACCTCCACCTCCTGGGTTCAGGCAATTCTCCTGCCTCAGCCTCCTGAGTAGCTGGGATTACAGGCATGCGCCACCATGCCCAGCTAATCTTTTGTATTTTTTTTTTAGTAGAGATGGGGTTTCACCATGTTAACCAGGATGGTCTTGATCTCTTGACCTCGTGATCCACCCGCCTCAGCCTCCCAAAGTGCTGGGATCACAGGCATGAGCAACTGCGCCCAGCCCTGTATATCTTCTTTGGTGAAGTATCTGCTGCGGTCTTTGGCTCATTTTTTAATTGAGTTATTTTTTACTTTTATTTTTTAGGCAATCTTGCTCTTTCACCCAGTCTAAAGTGCAGTGGCATGATCTCGGCTCACTGCAGCTTCCACCTTTTCTGGGCTCCTCTCACCTCAGCCTCCAGAGTAGCTGGGAATATAAGTGTGTACCACCACGCCTGGCTAATTTTTATATTTTTTGTAGAAAAAGGGTTTTGTCATTTTGCCCAGGCTGGTCTTGAACTCCTGAAGTCAAGCAGTCTGCCTGCCTTGGCCTCCCAAAGTGCCATTATTACAAGTTTGAGCCACCATTCCTGGCTGATTTTTTTTTTTTTTTTAAACTATTGAGTTTTCTAACTCCTTGAGTAGTTTAGATGACAGTCTTTTATCAGATAGATATTTTGCAAATATTTTTTCCAGTCTGTGGGAGAAAATATGTCTTCTCAAGTCTGTGGCTTGATTTATAATTTTCTTGACAGTGTCTTTCACAGAGCAGGAACATTTACTGAATACTAGTTCATTGATTCTTTCTTTTATGGGTCATGCCTTTGTTGTTGTATCTTAAAAGTCATTGCCATACCCAGTATCGTCTAAGTTTTCTCCTATATTATCTGCCCACTTTTTCTAGCACCATTTGTTGAGAATACTGTGTTTGCTCAACTGTATTTTTTTTGCTCCTTTGTCAGAGATCAGTTGACTATGTCTATATGAGTCTTTCTGGGCTCTATTCTGTTCCATTAATTTATATGTCTGCTCTTTGACTAATACCACACTGTCTTGATTACTGTAGCTTTATATTAAGTCTTAAAGTTGGGTAGTGTCAGTCCTCTGATGTTCTTCTCTTTCAATATTGTATTGGCTATTCTGAGTCTTTTGCTTTTCTATGTAAACTGTCTAATCAGTTTGTCTACATCTATAAAATAACTTGCTGGGGTTTTGACAGGGCTTACATTGAATCTATAGGTCAATTTGGGAAGAACTAACATCTTGCCAGTATTAAGTCTTACTGTCCATGATCATAGAATATCTCTCTATTTATTTAGTTTTCTCTGATTTATTTTATCAGAGTTATGTAGTTTTCTTCATTTATATCTTCTAAATACAGATTTCCCCAACTTATGATGATTTGACTTACAATTTTTCAACTTTATAATGGTGAGAAAATGGCACATACTCAATAGAAGCTGTACTTCAAATTTTGAATTTTGATCTTTCCCTGAACTAGTGACATGTGCTGTGATATTCTGTTGCAGTGCTGCATAGTGTAGTGGCCCCCAGTTAGCCACATGATCACCAGGGTAAACAATTGATACAGTCATTCTGCTTTTCACTTTCAGTATGGTAGTCAATAAATTACATTATATATTTAACACTTTATTATAAAATAGGGTTTGTATTAGATAATTTTGCCCAACTGTAGTCTAGTGCAAGTGTTCTGAGCACATTTATGGTAGGCTAGGCTAAGCCATGATATTTGGTAGGTTAGATTAAATGTACTTTCAACTTATAATATTTTCACTTAGGGTTGAGTTGTTAGAACATAACCCCATCCTAAGTCAAGAAGCCTCTGTACTTTGTAAGATTTATAACTAAGTGCTTCATTTTTTGGAGTGCTAATGTAAATGGTATTGTGTTTTAGTTTTAAATTCTGCTTGTTCATTGCTGGTGTACAGGAAAATGATCAACTTATTAACTTATTAACACCAAAAATGATTGGTGTATTAACTTTGTCTCTTGCAAATCTTGCTATAATCACTTAATAGTCCCATGAGTTTAAGATTCTTTCAGATTTTCTACATAGATGATTATGTCATCTGTGAACAGACAGTTTTAATTTTTCTTCCTAGTAAGTATACCTTTTCTTTTCTTATTGCATTAGCTAAGATTTCCAGTACAATGTTGAAAAGAAGTTGTGAGAGTGAACATCCTTGACTTGTTTCTGATCTAAGCAGGAAAGCTTGGAGTTTCTTACCATTAAGTATAATGTTAACTGTCTTCTGTAGATGTTCTTTATCAATTTGAGGAAAATTCCCTCTATTCTTAGTTTGCTGAGAATTTTTTAAAAAAATCTTCAATGAGTGTTACATTTTGTCAAGTGCTTTTTCTACAGCTATTGCTGTGACCATGTAATTTTTGTTTCTTTAGCCTGTTGATATGATGGATTACATGATTTCATTTTTGAATATTGAAAGAGCCTTGCATACCTGGGATAGATCCCACTTGCTTGTGGTATATAATTCTTTTTATACATTGTTGGTTCAGTTTGCCAGTATTTTGTTGAGGATTTATGCATCTATGTTCATGAAGAATATTGGTTTATAGTGTTCTTTTATTCAAACACATTTGTTTGAAAGTAATAATCAGCAGTTATTCCTGTAAAAAGCTTAGAGGTCATCACTCTATCCTAACAAGTAAAAATCTGAATGAACTAAAAAAATCAACAACTCTTCTTAGAGAAACATGGTCACAGGGCAAACTGCTGCTTCTAAAATGGAAGAGACAGACTTTCCTCATTCTGAAGAATATTCTGTATGAAATTAATATAAGCAGGCCTACTTTTTTTGATTAGTGTTAGCATAGTATAACTTTCTCCATCCCTTCACTTTTCATCGACATGTGTTTTTATATTTAAAATAGATTTCTTGTAGACAGTGTTCTCTCTTTTTTGATACACTCTTGCAATATTTGTGTTTTAATTGGTATACTTAGACAATTGAGGTTTAAAGTGGTTATTGTTAGAGTTGGATTAATATATATCATAACAATTACTGTGTCCTATTTGTTGCCATTGTTCTTTGTTCCTATTTTTGTCTTCTACTCTCTATGTCCCTTTTTAATTTTATAGTATTCTACTTTCTCTCCGTTCTTAGCATATCAGTTATACTTTTGTTTTAGTGGTTGCCCTAGAGTTTATAATGTACATTTACAACTAATCCAAGTCCACTTTTATGAAATACAATACCATTTCATGAATAGTGGGAGTATCTTATAATAATGCAATAATTCCAATTTCTCTTTTTGTTTCTTATATCATTTTTGTCATTTATTTTATTCATATATAAACATACATAAGGACACACACACATTTATAGCATACAATTAAATACATAGTTGCTATTATTATTTTCAACAAATAGTTGTGTGTTAGATCAATTAAGAATTTTTTTAAAAAGGTTTTATTTTACCTTCACATGTTCCTTCTTAGATGCTTTTCTTTCTTTAAGAAGTTCCAAGTTTCCTACCTATGTAATTTACATTTCTCTAAAGAATGTAAATTCCTTTCACATTTATTGTAAAGCAGATCTAATGGCAACAAATTCTCTCAGTGTTTTGTTTTTTTTTTTTTGTCTCAGAAAGTCCTTAGTTGACTTCACTCCTTTTTTTTTTAATCTGCTTGTGTGGTTTCTGGGGAGAAGCCAGATATAATTTTCATCCTTGCTTTTGTATAGGTAAGATTTTTTTCTCCTTTAAATATTTTTTCTTTATTTTTGATTTTCTGCAGTTTGAATATGACACATCTGCATATAGGAGGGTTTTTTGTTTGTTTGTTTTTGTTTGTTGTTGTTTTGATATTTATCCTGCTTGGAGTTCTGTTCCTGGATTTTTGGTGTCTGACATTAATTCAGGGATAATTATTGCTTCAAAATTGGTTCCTTTCTCTTTTTCTTCTCTTCTGGTATTCCTGTTACATATATTTTATGTCTTTTGTTGCTGTCTAATGGATTTTCACAAAGTCCAGTCTACTAATATGCCCATCAAAGGCATTCCTCATTTCTGTTATTGCATTTTTGATTTTTTCTTATAATTTCCATCTATCTGCTTATATTGCCCAACTTTTATTGCATGCTGTCTTCTTTATTAGAACACTAGCATATTAATCATAATTGTTTTAAATCCCTGGCCTCATAATTCTAACATCTCTGCCATGTCTGAATCTGGTTCTGATTCTTTCTTTGTCTCTTCAGACTCTATTTTTTGCCTTTTAGTATGCCTTGTAATTTTTTCTTGATAGCCAGACATGATGTGCTAGGTAAAAGGAACTATTGTAAATAGTTCTAGTGATGTGGTGAGGTGTGGGTGGAGGGGAAGTGTTTTGTAGGTCTATGATTTGGTCTCAGTCGCCTAGTGAGCTGTGCCTCTGGACTGTGAGCTTCACAAGTGCTTCTTAGAGGCCCTCTCCCCTTATTTGGGACACGATGGCTAGAATGGACTGGAGTTGGGCATTTCTATTCTCCTAGGTTAGCTACACTCTGAAAAAACTCCAATTGTTTAGGCTCTAGTAAAATAGTTTCTCTTCAGGGCAGGCCTTGTTAAGAACAAAGTGTATTTCAAAATGGTTCCTTTTCCCCTTTCATTGTTGAAACATCAGGAGATTAAAAATATTATTGTGAGAACCTGGTTGAGCTCTTAGAGGTAAAGCTCATAAGAGTGTAGGGTCTCCCCTATGACTGGGTCCCCTGGGAACTTTTTAACTCTTAGTGTCCACACTGAGCCTCCAGCAGTTTATCAATTACAGTTCAGGTGTTCCTGTCCTGGCACTGATTCTTGAGGTTTCTGCTTGTGGACTTCTACTATAGCAAGTTATACTTATATTCTCCTTTCCGTCTCTTTCATTTTAGAAGCAGCAGTTTGCCCTTTGATCATGCTTCCTTAAGAAAAGTTGTTGATTTTTTAGTTTATTCAGATTTTTACTTGTTAGGATGGAGTGATGACTTCTAAGTTTTTTTTTTTTTTTTTTTTGAGATGGAGTTTCGCTCTTGTTACCCAGGCTGGAGTGCAATGGCGCAATCTCGGCTCACCACAACCTCTGCCTCCTGGGTTCAGGCAATTCTCCTGCCTCAGCCTCCTGAGTAGCTGGGATTACAGGCACGTGCCACCATGCCCAGCTAATTTTTTGTATTTTTAGTAGAGATGGGGTTTCACCATGTTAACCAGTATGGTCTCGATCTCTTGACCTCGTGATCCACCCGCCTCAGCCTCCCATGACTTCTAAGTTTTTAACAGGGATAACTTCTGGTTATTACTTTCAATAGGAATCATGGCCATTTACACATTCACGAACCTTCAGGCCAAGACTTTTAAGAAGTGGGCATTCCTTTTTCACTCTTTTTCTTCTTGTATCTACCAGTTGAATTTTAAAGAAGTCAGCCTGGATCTCAGAGTGACTACATAGAATACATCAATCCCACCCCCATTCTGGTATTACCAAGATCCATTTTAGCTTTTACAAGATTAAGTAATAAGCTGTCATTGTGCTAATCATTGAGATTTGGGGGTTTGTCTGTTACAGTGGCTAGTGTGTTATGTGAACTAGCATTGCTTAGGAATACTCCCTGGGGATCTCCGTTTCTTTACTTACCGTGGATGTTACGGCAGATATTGCAGACTGGCTCACTCACTTCCATTCTAAACCTTTTGTAGTATGCAAGGTAAATTGTAGGAAGGCAAAAATATTTCCTTATTTCCCCAGATATCCATTTTTAGTTCAGGTTTCACAGAAGACAGATTTTGCCAAGCAGATGTACTTGTGTGAAATTTGGGAAACTGCAATGAACATAGTGAGATGGAGGTTGTGCTTTCACTATTACTACTGTTCTTCTGGCAAGCATGTTTGTGAAATTGAAAGTGGTAGAAAACCCACCTACAGTGGTGTAAGCAAATAGAAGCCTATTTTTTTTTTTCAGATAGCAAGAAGTCTGGATGTAGGCAATCACTGGATTTGTTCGTGAGGTTACCAATATCAGGATCCACGAGGGTCAGTATCTGTGCAGTTTTTTCAGATTTTCCTTCATGGTTATAAGACCATTGTTGGGGCTGCTTTATTCAAGGCAAACAAACAAACAAACAAAATAAAAACAGTGGAAAAGGGGAACAGTAACATCAGCTATGTCTGCCTCTTTTATCAGAAGACAGGTTTTCCCAGAAACCCTCAAAACAGCTTTACCCAAGGTCTCGCTGTCCAAATTTGGGTATGTTACCACCTGAAAATTAGGATTCTACTGGCAAGGAAAAAGGAGGGTAAGTTATGGGAGTGTCATAATGCACAGAATTTATAGTCTCTGCCCTCAAGAATCTAATGATGGCTTGCAGAGTAAACCATATGCATTGATATTTGAATAATAGTATGAGACTTAAGAAAAAATATAAGGCAAAAATAGCATAAGTGACAGAGCAGACATTTTAGAGGAGATGGACACTTTAGCATTCAAATGCAGCCTATCTCCCATTTTAAGAAGGACTGACGTGAAGGGATTGTGTGTTTTAGTTGGACACTGCAGGCAGCTTCTTGCTTCCTGCGCTGTGTTATGCTGATGTCACCTGCCAGAATAGAAGAGTGTTCTGCGAGAATGTCCAAATGAAGTGCCTTCTACAGGTTGATGGGCAGGGAGTGGTGAATTTAGCCTGGTCCTGGGTGGATGAAAGGGTATTGTAGGAATTGAGGAAAGACTCCAGACACAAGTCTAGAAGTTTATTTTGTGAGTAGAATGTTTCTCTGGATGCTGGAAACAATAAAACTGACCACTTGCCTGTAATTAGCCTGGGCCCTGTAAGTCACCCAGACACAATACCAAGCTCTAAAATTGCCTTCAGAGTAAGGGGTCAGCACCCTGGAGTTACCGACACTTGCTTTTTTGGCACCAGATTTATTGACATTGATGATCCCAATCCCTTATGGAGTTCCCTGGACTGTTTAGATAATGAATTTGCCTTATGACCGCAGTGCTCCTGCTAATGAGGAATGAGTGTTTTCTCTAAGATTTTATTTTAATGTGGTGGCTCGTGTGATATTGATCCCCAGATCATTTGCTGTTCAAGCTCAGCTTTAATTTTCTCAATAACACGGTTCAGCAATCCGTTGGGATGCTGGTTTAAACAAGGATAGAGGCACTCCCATATCCCTAGGGCCCTCATTGTGCCTCAGGTCAAATTCCAGCTGCCAGTATATGCATCTCTTGCCTGAGGGCTTTCTTTGAAATTATGGGAGAACTCTGCCCACTCTGCAGGCCGGAAGTGTCAGAAGATTAATGTCACCTCTCCTCTGGAGTAGCTCTCAGCCAAAGATTGATGGGATTTGATGGCTCCTCTAGTGGGAGAACTCTAAGGCTTGTATTCTCCACTTTTCCCAGAGTGTCTTCCTGGCATTAAGCTACAGCAGCCCACGGTGGTTGCTGGGTTACTAATACATCCTTGATTGAAGATGCCCCTTCCCAGTTTTACTTTCCCCTGCTCTTCTCCACTGATTTCCTCTGAGCAGGCTCACGCTTCAAGCAAGGAACGACAATGTTATTAATTGACTCTGAAAAAGTAAAAGCCCTGGCAACCTCAAGAAGACCAAAGAAAAGAAACATGGCTATTTCCAAGTTTTATCGTCAACGGAGGGAAGGTTCCACCCAGAGAGAGTCTGCCAGAGGGAGAAGTGCAAAGGGCTGATGGGTAACAAGCTATGAATGGTATTAGAATAAGTATTAATAATTCTGCTCCTTTTGCCACCCAAATAACAACTTTCACTTAAATCCTTGTCTTAAAGTCTGCTTCTTAGGGACCCAAGTTAATTCATGAAGATAGCTCAGACTTTTTCTTCTTGCAGACTGTTTTTTTTTAAATTACAATCTTCTCTTCTGTGATGAGCATCCAGGTGTTTCAGAGGCAACATAGCCTAAAGTGAGCCCCAGTATATTAGTCATGGGGAAGGACAATTGATTGACTTCTCTGATTGACCCAAAGGAGAAACATGCCCAAGGGACAAAATCAGACAAAGGAACATATCGTGTTGATTCCAAACTCTTTGTGGGGACCCCTAGGCCTGGTGAACAAGTTTATACCATGCAATATCCCTGGACTATGTTTACAGTATACACAGGTCACATGGCCTCTTTGTCTCCTTTACAAAGAACACTCTAAGGTTGAGACCTCTTCAAAGCAGGAAGCAGCCACAGGTCTTTCTTGCCTTCCCAACTCCAGGAGAAATAATATGACAACATTCTAAAGAGACAAAGTCAAGAGAGACATGTCCTAGTGGAAGCCCAAACATGTGTGTAAACTGTTAGCTCATCACCCCTAAACACTGACTTGACCCATTTATATTTGCTCTCTTTCCTTGGTATATACTTGAAGACGGTGACTCTGTTGGTTTGCAAGAGTTGCCATAACAAAGTACCACAAACTGGGTGCCTTAAATGACAGAAATTTATTGTCTCCCAGTTCAAGATTAAGCCATTAACAAGGTGGGTTCCTTCTGATGGCTGTGAGAGGTCTGTTCTGTCCTAGCTTCTGGTGGTTTGTTGGCAATCGTTGGTGTTCCTTGGTTTATAGGTGCATCTTTATGTTCTCATGGTGCTCTCCCAGTGTGTGTGTTTCTGTCCAGATTTCCGATTTGCATAAAGCCACCAGTCATCATGGATTAGGAGCCCACCCTATTCCAATATGACCTTGTCATAACTTAACTAATTACGTCCACAATGACCCTATTTCTAAAAAAGGTCATATTCTGAGATACTGGAGGTTAAGATCTCAATGTATGATTTTTGGGGGACACAATTCAGTACATAACAGTGACCCAGGCAGGGAGTACAGTATAATGGTTAAGAGGTAGGACTTGAAAATGAAACTGACTTGGTTGAAATTTTGACTGTACTACTTACTTGCTCAATGAGCAACCTATTTAATCTTTCTGAATTTTAGTTTCCTCATCTACACAATGGAGATGGTAATAGCTACCTCAGAGAATTGTTTAGAGAATTAAATTCAGTGGCGATGGTAAATGCAGAGTAAGTGAGAATAAATAACAATTCTTCTTACTATTCATAGCCCACTGCCCACCAGCCCTTTGCACTTTCTCTCTTGCAGAGTCTATCTGGGAAGCTCTTTGGGTCAGAGCTCTCTTTTCATTATCAATAAAACTTGGAAATGGCAGTGTTTCTTCCCCTTAATTTTCTTGGGGTTACCAGAACTTTTCCATTTTTAGAGTCAATTGATAACATCAATGTTTCTCACTTAATGTGTGAACCTGCTGGGGAAAAGTGGTGCAGGCCCAGATAGAAGAGATGGTCTTCTTAAAAAAAAAAAAAAAATTAAAAAAAAAAAAAAAATCCCAACATTTAGTGCTACTCATCTGTAAGACTGGATAATACCAATACGTTCTTTATGGGATTGCTGAGAGGATTAAATGAACTAATTCATGTATGTGCCTGGTGCAATATTTGGCTTCTTGTAAATGCTCCATAAATATTATTATTATAATATTATCATTGTTAGTGGCAGTTCAAAAACAACCATTTTTCATAAGGGCACACAGGAAGCAGTATGGTAGACTAGTTAACTGACAAGAGAATGCTGCTGGTGACTGCAGAATTTTCTGGAGAAGCCAGCTGTTTATTTCCTGCTTTATTTAGGGCTTTAAAACTTCTTAACAAGGTTGTGGACCTGGAGTCAACAATGCACTGGGGCTTAGGATCCCAGTGGAAACACAGATTTTAAAATGGTTGCCACTTCTTGCCATAGCGTGCCTCTGCTTCTCTCTGTGGCCTTGCTCTCTTACTCTCTTCCAATGACTGGTTTTGTCATAGCCACCGACTGGACCAAAGTTTTAGATGTAGCAGGTTCAGTAGCCTGGAGAGAAACCCATCCCTTTTCCAAAGACAAAAGTCACATTTTCCCAGGGGATAAGATTAATTAGGCTAAATTGAGATGGTGCCTACCTCTGAATTGGTAACTCAGAGCTAGGGGAACAGGATAATGTTACACAAACCGCTCCCATGGAAACCATGTGGCTTGAAGAAATGGGAAGACAAGGTCCGGAAAAGCAGGGACAGTGGTAGGACAGACAGTGTATAGATGTCCGGTGTGGCTGGTTTTCCCTGCCGCCTACTATCTTTGTTTTTTTTTTTTGAGACAGGGTCTCACTCTGTCACCCAGGCTGGAATACAGTGGCATAATCTCAGCTCACTGCAACCTCCGCCTCCTGGGTTCAAATGATTCTTCCACCTCAGCCTTTTGAGTAACTGAAACTACAGGTAAACACTACCATGCCCCACTAATTTTTGTATTTTAGTAGAGATGAGTTTTGCCATGTTGCCCAGGCTGGTCTCAAGCTCCTGATCTCAAGTAATCCACGTGCCTCGGCCTCTCAAAGTGCTGGGATTTACAGGCACAAGCCACCACATCTGGCCTCCCGGCCATCTTCAAGAAAGGAGATGGAGCCGGCTTCTCTGAAAACTCATTCAGGAAAGTGGAATTGATTACTAACTTGGACAATACTTCACCTAGCTTGTGGACATGCCTTCTCCTAAACTCTCTCTGTTTCTCTTTACCTTTCCCATCGTCCTGCCTGTAGGCAAAGGAAGGCTTGCTGAGGCTTCCAAGTGAAAGGTACTGGCACGTTTTACAAAGACCACTGGACAGTTACATGAAACACTTTGCTCCTTTGCTGTCCTAAGAGCAAGCACATTGGTGCTTGGTAGAAGTGTCCTGGGGAGGTAAGCACCGACTCTCAGTGATGGTGAGGTGTATTTCAGAACCCAAGCTTCTGTCAGAGAGCATGTAGATTTTGTTATTTCAGTATTAGCAGCTTATTCTCCGTGGATTTTGTCGCGTAAATATCAGGAGGGAGTGTTTTCCCGACTGACACCTTAGAAGCACTCTTTGTGGCAAAGTCACAAACGTTTCCAGATCTTGCTGGGCCTGGAGATGGCTGCACCACTGGAGATGATCTGTTGGTGTCACTTGACACAGTGTGAGAGGTCAGGCAGGAGTGAAGAGTGTTGTCTGCATACAAAGTGGAAACATTATCTGCTCTGTGGGGAGGCCCATCATGCTCAGCCTGTTCAGGAGGGAGACTGACACATGTGGGCCATTCCGCGGAGCCTTTTCTCTGTCACAGTCCAAAGAAGCCTGACACTTTCAGAGGAAAATGACACTGAAAGCACTCAGGCAGAGGAGGAGCAAGCATGACCATACTTTCTGGACAGCCCTGCTTCATGCACTCATGCCAGTCATTGTTTTGTCCACCTTAGCTAATCCATTTCTAATTTTTTGTTCCTTAAAAAAAAGAACAAAAGTCAACCATCATTTACTGAGTTATTTTTTAAGAAACTTTTAGGTGGAAGTTTACATGTGCAGGTTTATTATATAGGTAAACTGCGTGTCATGGGGTTTTCATCACCCAAATAATAAGCATAATACCCAATAGGTATAATACGCAATAGGTATGTATTGTTTACTGAATTTTCACTGTGTGCTAGGACTGTGGCGTGCTGAAGATGGCTTGGACAGGCTTATGAGAGCTTCATTGTTTCATTTGCAGGAATTTTGCAAGATGTTAAACACAGCCATTATTAAAATTCAATTATATTATCTTATCCTTAAAAACAAACACAATACATTCAGCTTATCATATTCTAGTTATTTTACTCTTATTTATGCTCTTGAAGTTATTCATGTCTGTTGTGTCTGTATGTTGGAGCTGCTGAAGGATAACTTGCACTGTGCCTCTCCTGTCACTTTGGTGGCTTGAAATTGTTCGTGTTGTGAGTATTTACACCACAGAAATCAGCAAATGCTACAAACTCAAGCTTGGTCTATTGTTTTGTTGATGGTTTGGACTTAAAAAACGATGGAGAAAATGTCAATAATGAAAAGTAATAGCAAAAACCGCAATAATTTGCACCAACCTAATATGAACAGCACAAAAATTTGAGAAAATATTCTTTTGGTATTTAAGACTATTACCTAATTCAGCAAACTAGTTGTAGTTACTCATGTCGTTGACTAGTGAGTGAAGTTCTGATATACATTTTTGTCTCACTTTTATCTTATTAATGTGAATGAAAGGATCAACATATCTCTCACAGATACATTCGTCAGTTGCAGCTGTAGATTGGCTATGGATACAAGAGTTCAGCAAAATCATTCAAAGCATTTTGTGAGACTTAATTGGCTAAATGGAATTTGCAATAATGAGTGTTATATATTTCATTATTTTTTATAAATCGTGTACACATTCTATCAGTATAATTTACAGAAGTATATATTCATTTGCACATATTTTAGGAGGGAGGGCCAGTTGTAACTATTAGCTATTATTTACTCTGCCATGAATATACTTCCCTCTTTATCTCACCCTCCAAGACCGAGTTCGGGGATGAATCTATCCCTTCTTTGGGGTCCTTTGTCACAGCCCTTCTTCACAATGCATTAGGGTTCTGTGAATTTTCCTCTACTTCCTAGAACAAACACAGTGGAAGGACAAGGGCTTTGAACAACTCAGTTCTGAACATCTGGAGCTGAGTTCCATGTTTGGTACATAGGAGGTACCCAACAGGTGTTGGTTAAAAGAAACAGTAAGAGTCTTGAAGGCAGTGGGTGGGGAAGAGAAAAAGAAAAGAAGGAAGTCACTTACTTAGAAAAGGCTCAATAGTCAATACTGTGCATCATCTTTTAAAATTTAAATTTTCTTAGGGTTCCTAAAGGTCTATGTAAAATACAGTAAGCTTTGATTTCCAAAACCACAACCTACAAAAGCCCTTGATGGAGTAGATTTGTCTGGGGGTTCCATATGTTTAGAGGAACAAGACAAGTCAATTATATCATTATAATTGGTAATTATATCATTATAACTGGTAATTATGTCATTCCCTGTATTTGATGTGTGTCTTGAGTGATGCACAGTGGCCAGTCCTTCCTGTTCCCTTTATAATGTTCATTGAGTCCTTCCTTGAATGTGGCAGGCCCTGGATTTTCCATGCATCGTGTGTGAGGGAACTGACAATGGAACATCAGAAGCCCAGGAGAACTTACAGCCCATGCATCCTCCCACTCCAAGATCCTCCCATGTGCCTTGACTGCAGGCTCCTCCCCATACCCTTTTGGAGGGACCTGGATACCAGCCCTCTTAGTCAAGAAGTATTTGCAGTCTTTAAAATCCAGTCATTATTGATGGGCTGGCTGAGTTTCTTGTTCAAAAAGTGCACAGTCACCCATCTCCCTAAAATACACATCCAGCCAAGGGTCAGGTTTCCCTCAGCCGCCAGCCACTTCTCTAAGATGAGCAGTTGCCAACAAGCAAGCCTGGAAGCAAGCAAACGGTTTTCCTTTCTCCACCTCCATCCCGTCAGTCAGAACCCCAAAGAAAGGTCAGCTGGAACCCGTCCAGCCTCCAGCCACAGCCCAGCACAGGGTAGACATGTCAAACAAAACAGGAAAAATTATTTACCTTTCCCTTGTCCTTTCCCTCAAGTTTTAATTTTATTTGCCATCGACTCAAGAGAGCCCACAATAAGAAAAGGAAATCAAGCCTAGATCATTGTCTCTTTCCTGGACTGTTGAACTAGACTCTGCTTTTGTCCTTGCCCCATGCAAATCTATTCTTAATTCAGAGGCTAGAGGGATCCTGTTAAAAAGTAAATCAGAATATGTCATTCTTTTGCTCAGAACTCTCCAGTGGCTCTCCCGTAATCAGAGGTAAAGCCAAAGCCTGCCAGTGTCTAAAGGCTCTACATGATGAGCTTCTACCCCCCCGGCCCTTTATGTATCTGATTTCCTACTATTCACTCCCTCCCTCCGTCCTCAACAGATGCAATAACCTTGTTGTTCCTTGAACTTATCAAACACGTCTCACCTCAAGGCCTTTCCCCTCATTGTTTCATCTGCCAACCATACTCTCCCCCAGATATCCATGTGGCTCATTCCCTCACCTCCTTCATGTCTGTGCAAGCATGACCTTCTCCATGTCTGTGCAAGCATGACCTTCTCACGTATGGTGCTATGCAGTGCTGCAACTGCCTTCTTCCTCTCTCTTGCTGTTCCTTCTCACCCTGTTCTATTCTTTTCATAGAATGTATCATCTTCTAGCATAACATATAATTTATATATTTATTATATTTATAGTTTGTCCCTCCCAAGTAGAAATGTAAGCAGTAAGAGGACATACATTTTTGTCTTTTGTGCCTGTTTTGTCTGGAATAGTGCATGGCACATAATAGGAGCTCAAATATTTGTTGAATGAAGTGTACTCCATTTAAGACAAGGAATCTGAGGCTGACTCTAAGTCACAAATATTATTGAGGCATTTGGGAGTAGACACCAGTTTCCTCCATGCTAGAAGCCACATTTGTCACCTAATCCTTGCTTCCCTTTCGTTGACGACTGGACTCAGTGGGGAAAGTTCCAGGGAGTCCACTGTAGAGCTGAGTAGGCAGATAGTGTTGGGATTTTCTGAATTTACTTTTTCATCAAGGTCAAAAAAGCCATGTGGAAACTCTAAAATGTGGTTTTTCAGTTAATGCATTTTATTGAAAATGCACTTTTGTTTGAATGATATTATATTAATGTGTCAAAACTTACAGAATAACTCTCAAGCAAGGAATTGTTGGTGGTGGTAGTGGAGACAGGGAGAGGGAGGTGCAGTTGAGGAGAAGGAATATAGAAACATTGGCTTATTCATGTGAGCTGCTATTAAGAAAGCCAGTGCCCCCTTCATAACAGGGAGCTCTGGGAAACCAAATAGAAAACTCCTTTTTTAAAAAGAGACAGATTAACTGAGTCATTATCTCTGAATTCCCTTTCTGTTGCTTCTCACTCAGACTGCTGATGATTTTATTTTTAATTTATCTAAGGGGGTTATGAGTCATTATCGAGATTAGTTTCCATCAGGTTCTCTATCACGAAACACTACAGTAACCTGCAGTACTTACCTGCTGCATAATAAATTACCCCACAACTTATTTGGTTAAGACAACAACCATTTAATTTGCCTGCAGTTCCATGGGTCAGGACTTCAGAATCCATTTAGTTGGCTTATAATTGTGTAGGTTACAAATTCAGGGCTTGGCTGGGTGGTCTTCCTGTTGCAGGTGGTGTCAGCTGGGATCATTTATTTGGCTGCGTTCAGTTGGTGGCTGGGCTCAGCTCTGAGTCTGGCCTATTGCACATCTCTGGTGCCTCTGCATTCTTGTGTCCCTCCATCTGGCTTTGCTTTCTCCAGGGACTTGGTCTCCCTCACAGCATGGTGGTGTAAGGTTCAGCCATGGAACTTGCACAGCAGTAACACTTTTCCCATATTCGATTGGTCAAAATGGGACCAGAGCCAGCCTATATTCAAGCGGAGGGGATTCTACCTCTCATTGAAAGGCGGGGCAAAGAATTGATGACTGTATTTAATCCATTACATAATCAAATACAGGCGGTCAGTCTCCAACTAGGGTTGTGCTTTATCTCACTTCTCTACTTAATAAAAGATGTAAATAAAAAGTGTAAAAAAAGTTACATTCAAGGATCCTTGAGCATATAAGTGCCCCAAATATGCACCTTACTATTTATAAATGCTCCCACTTAGTCAAGCATTCACTTTACGAATTTCTCTGCCTCCAACTCTGTTCCTGAAAAGGTATTATTTCTGCTTGGAGCCAGTCTGTCTTGCCACAGAAGTTGCTCCCCAAATTCTAGGTTCTCATCGTCATAAATCCCTTACAGTCAAACTTCCCCTATCCCCATTGTTTCTGCTTCTTCTGGGAGCTTGGAGCCCTGGTACATCTTTTAAAATGCTCTAATTATTATAGATGCAAAGAAAGAGAAAATCTGGTTCCCACTGAGTAGCTCCTGTGGACTCTTATTGTGGCATGGAGTTTTGTTTCCTGTAGAAAACTTAGATTTGCCAAGTCATAAATCTGGGTAAGCCAAGTAGCAATTCATTGTAAGATGGAAAAGGTACAATTGGAACTGAGCCCAAGCAAGACTAGAGAGCATGAGAAGCTGCATACACAGGGGGGCAAGGGTCCCCATGTCGCCTGTCACAACTGCATCAACACCCCTCCCTCAGCTCACATCTGTGGCCATACATGGGATCCCATAGGACCAGCTAAGGAAAAGAAAAAAGCCTTAGCTTGGGGGTATATTTAGGTTGGCTCAGTATAAAAATACAGACTGAAAATGAGTAGCTACTATATTAACCACCACACTCAGGGGAGGCTCTAAAAAAAGTAGAGAAGAAAAATCTTGTTGATGGGTGGAGCTGCAAGTAATGCATCTGGTCATCTACTTTGCATGGAAAGACAGGTGGCCAAGATAAGAACATATGTATACTCATGGAAAATGGCCAATGATTTAATGGACCGGTTAGAGGTCTAGAAGAAAATGCGCACTTGGAGATGAGATCTGGAGTAGAGGCATGTGAACAGACCTGTGGAGATGGACAGAAAATGTAAAGATTTTTGTGTAACATGTTAATGCCCATTATAAAGCATCTATCACAGAAAAGACATTGGATATCTAAATAGACAACATGCTCAGCCAGTTTACATTAGGCAGCATTCATCACTGGCTTCCCCAGAACTGGAATGATAGATTGTCAAATGGATCCATGAAGAGAGTGGTCATGGTAGCAGAGACAGAGGTCCCACCTGAACGTAACCGCATGGACTACCACTTAAAAAGACTGACATAGCTCTTGCCCCTTCTGAATGTCTAACCTGCCAGTACCAGAGACCCATGCTGAGCCCCAAATATGGCACTACTCTTTGGAGACCAGTTGATCACTTGGTGGCAATTTCTTCTCATAACAGTAGACACCTATTTCAGGTGTCTGCCTTTCATGCCTGCAGAGCCTCAGCCAGCACATTATCCAGCGGCTTATGGAGAAACTGACCCACAGGCATGGGATCCCACAACATGTAGTATCTGATCAGCTCCTTCACCGTGAAGGAGCTGCAGCAGTGGGCCCATGATCATGAGCTCCATTTGTTGTATCACTTAACAAAAGGCCCAGAAGCTGCCACTTGATAGAGCATTGAAAGTTCTGGTGGAGCTTAAGGCAAGACTCTGTGAGAATGGGGTGTGGGTGCCTTCCTCCAAGACATGATTTAAGCACTGAATCAGAGACTCCTACATGACTCTGTGTCCCCTGTAGGAAAAATACATGGATAGTCAAGGGGTAGAAGCAGGAGTGGTCCTAAGTAGCATCAATCCCAGTGACCTATTGTGTGGCTTTATGCTTCCCTATCCCAAAACACTGGGCTCTGCAGTGTGAGTGGTACTGGTCCCAAAAGTAGAACACTCCAGAAGATATATGAAAGGAGAACTGAACTACACACTAAAATACAGGCATTTTTGAGTTCCTTGTGTTTAGGGACCAATAGACAAGAAAAGGAGTCACTGTGTTGGCAGGGCTAACTGACTTAATAAAAAAGAGGAGGTAGGGCTATGTTATACAATGGGGGCAGGGAAATATATATAGAAGCGAGGTAGTATCCCCTGCTGAATTATGATTATAGCAGTACAAGTGCGGCTAGCCCAGCTTCATAAGAGTGTGATTACCAGGAACTCAGACTCCTCAAGAGTGAGGATTTCATTCATGTTACCAGGTGAGTCACCCAGGCCAGCTAGAGTAGTAGCTGAGAATGAGAGGGGTTAAGGATGGATAGTGGACAAAGGAGTTGATGAATACTAGCTGTGACTCCAGGACCAACAGGGAGTGGGCTGCTGGACTGTAGATCATCCCATGAACCTCCCTCTTCTAAGTTTTCCCTTAAGAAGCGAGACCCTTTGGAACCCAGAAGAGCTGCTCTGTAAACATGTAGGAAAGTGGAATCACGTGGCACAAGGGAGCACTGTGGCAGTCATGGAGGTGTGGTCCCCAGATCTGCCTTCATGAAAGAACTTGCCATCCAGCTGTCTGGAGGTCAGTTAGCTGACAGCCTCCAGCTGTCAGTACCTTCGGGATTTGCCTCTGTTGAGTCTAGACAACAATCTTCTTGGAAGGTCCTAGCCAATGACTAAATTGGGCAGGAGGTTTTAGGGTCTTGCCATTTCTGCCCAACATAGGAATTCCTGCAATAGGCAATCTTAGTTTCCATTGGGTTAGAGATGTTGGCAAATGTGCGCTATGATCTGAGACTCCTTCTGCCCAATTTTGGTTCCTCTCTTCTTTAAGTTCTGCATCATAGTCTAAAGACTTTCCTTCCCAATCTTTCTTTCCTTTTCAAAATATTTTCCAGGCATTACCCTCCAATAATTCCCTTGCACTTTTAAACTCTGTCTCAGCGTCTGCTTCCCAAAGACCCAACTTACATAATAACCTAGCAACTTTTGGAATGTAGGTAACTCAGTTTCTTTGAAGCAAGTACTGTTTCTTCAAATCTAAGGATTTGGAACACACAGAATCAAGGATGTGGAACAAATGGAATTGAAGCACATTACACCACGTAAGTGTGCAAATTGGTACAACTAGTTCAGAAAAGTATCTGAGAGTATTTGCTAAAGCCAAACATTTGAATTCCCTATGACCCAGCCATTTAATCCTGGGTCTATATCCATCAGAAGGTTGCTCATAGCAGCTGATGCTGTGGACTGAATTGTGTCCTGAAATTTGTATGCTCAATGTGATTTGGAGATGGGACCTTTGAGAAGTAATCAGGTTTAGGTGAAGTCGTGGGGATAGGGCCTTCGTGATGGGACTAGTGTCCTTATAAAGAGACAGAGAGAGCTTGCTCTCAGTCTCTCTACCCTGTGAGGACACACTGCGAAGGCAGCCATCTGAAAGCAAGGAAGAGAGCCTTCACCAGAACTCAATCGTGCTGGCACCCTGCTCTTGAACTTCTAGCTTCCAGAACAATGAAAAATAAATTTCTGTTGTTCAAGCTACCCAATCTATGGTATTTTGTTATGGTAGCCAAAGCTGACTACAACACAGCACTATTCATGAGACAGTTGACCCCTGAACAACATGGGGGTTAGAAGTGCCGACCCCCCACCTGGTTCAAAATCCATGTATAACCTTTGATTCCCCAGAACAGAGCTACTAATAGCCTACTGTTGGCCAGAAGCCTTATCAACAACATAGTCGATTCACTCATATTTTGTATGTTGTGGGTATCATATACAGTATTCTTACAATAAAGTAAGCTAGAGGAAAGAGAATATTGTTAAGAACATCATAAGGAAGAAAAAAATGGTTCCTATTTATTAAATGGAAGGCCACCATCATAAAGGCCTTCATCTTTATCATTCTCTGAGGATGAGGAGAAAGAAGAGGGATTGGTCTTGCTGTCTCAGGGGAGGCAAAGGTGGAAGAGTTGGAGAAGGTAGATGGGAGGCAGGTACGCTCAGTGTAACATGGGGAAAAAAAGTGAATCTGTGCAGTTCAAACGTATATTTTTCAAGGATCAACTGTAGTTAAAAAAAAACCGCAAAGTATCCAAATGTCTACCAATAGTAGAATGGATAAATTGTGGTATATTCACAGATCGGAATATGTTAAAACAATCAGAACAAATGAGCTACAAACATATATGAAAATGTGGCTGAATCTCACATGTAATGTTGACCCTCCAAATTAAACCAGACTCAAAAGAGTACATATTGTACAACTCCATTACTATAATGTTTTAATCCAGGAAAAACAAATCCATGCTGTGAGGAGCTAGGAGAATGGTTCTGGAACGTTGTGATTAAAAGTGGGCATGATGAGATTCCGGGTGCTGCTCGTTTTCTGTTTCTTGATCTGTGTATTGATTACATGGGGGTTGAGTCTTGAAAGTTTATTGATCCACATGCTTATGATAGGTGCACTTTTCTGTATGCACCAAGTTTATACTTCATGAAAAGGTTTATAGAAATCTAAGGTTGTCATTAATTTTAAGGTACAACTTTATATAGGTTGCCATATAAGTACTATGTTTCATTAATGTATAAGATGCACATTTTTTTTCACATTTTAATATCCTAAATATGGTGATGTGAATTAGGATGGGTGGTGGTCATAAAGTGGTTGCCATCATGATGTAGTTGTCATTGCCTGTACATGTGTGAATATCAAGCCTCGAACCTTGAGAAAAGGGTAGGCATCAGGAGCTAGGAAGAAAATCTCAGATTTCTTGTGTTTTCTAAAATTACTTATAATTTTTATATTTATTGAAAAAACTCTGTAGATATTATCAGAAACAATTTTTTTTCATATAGAGCTCTCACACATATGGACAAAGAGAAATATAAGCAAAGTAAACTGGTTAAGGATTTCTAAGACTCCTCCACATTCAGAGTCCTGTTGTTCTGTAATAACCTCTCCACTGAGTCATTCATGTTGTCATTTCTACATCATGTTATTCTCCTTGCCATCAGAAGCTTTGGTGACTCAGCATTTCTTTAAAAAAAATTCATAAAAAAACTAAAAGCCACTGGTTCTGGGTTCTTATTAAGCTGGATTTTCAGTGAGGTGCTGCCAGTCTTCTGTGGTGGGAGCTATCATGTGCCACCCAGATTCTCCTTCAGCAGTGAAGCACGCATTCCCTCTGATGCTGGGAGTGCTGCTGGCAGAGAGCCCTTCCCTGTTAGTCCCCTTTGAAAACTGGCTCATTTGAAGAGGGCCACCTCATCTGAGGTTGTGCTTGCTTCCCCAAACTGGCCAGCACATGGAATAAAGGCCTGGTTCCTTGTCCCAAATAGGAACTAGTGGAAAGGATCATACCAGCTTCAGAGTTCCCCATGGGTTGGGCTGAGGCCTTTATTGTGACTGTGTCACAACTCAGTTTTTTCCTCTTTTTAATCCTGCTTCCATCCATCAGTAGTGAACCTAAGAGCATCCCCTGATAAGCCTCTGACATACAGGGCAATGAGGCAAGAGAAGGAAATACAGCGTATTCAAACAGGAAGAGAGGAAGTCAAAATGTCTGTTTGCAGACGACATGGTTGTATATTTAGAAAACCCTGTCGTCTCAGCCAAAAATCTTCTTACGCTGATAAGCAACTTTAGCAAAGTCTCAGGATACAAAATCAATATGCAGAAATCACAAGCATTCCTATACACCAATAATAGACGAATAGAGAGCCAAATCATGAGTGTACTCCCATTCACAATTGCTACAAAGAGAACAAAATACATAGGAATACAACTTACAAGGAATGTGAAGGACCTCTTCAAGGAGAACTACCAAGCATGGCTCAAGGAAATAACTGAGGACACAAACAAATGGAAAAGCATTCCATGCTCATGAATAGGAAGAATCAATATTGTGAAAATGGCCATACTGCCCAAAGTAATTTATAGATTCAGTGCTATCCCCATCAAGCTACCATCAACTTTCTTCACAGAATTAGAAAAACTACATTAAATTTCATATGGAACCAAGAAAGAGCCTGTATAGTCAAGAGGATCTTAAGCAAAAGAACAAAGCTGGAGGCATCATGCTACCTAACTTCAAACTATACTACAAGGCTACAGTAACCAAAACAACATGATACTGGTACCAAAACAGAGATATAGACCAATGGAACAGAACAGCAGCCTCAGAAGTAATGCCACACATCTACAACCATCTGATCTCTGACAAACCTGACAGAAACAAGCAATGGGGAAAGGACTCCCTATTTAATAAATGGTGTTGGGAAAACTGCCTAGCCATGTCCAGAAAACTGAAACTGGACCCATTCCTTAAAACGTATACAAAAATTAACTCAAGGTGGACTAAAGACTTAAATGTAAGACCTAAAACTGTAAAATTCCTAGAAGAAAAACCTAGGCAATACCATTCAGGACATAGGCATGGGCAAAGACTTCACGATTAAAACACCAAAAGCAATGGCAACAAAAGCCAAAGTTGACAAATGAGATCTAATTAAACTGAAGAGCTTCTGCACAGCAAAAGAAATTATCATCAGAGTGAACAGGTAAGAGTATTCCATGGTGTATATGTACCACATTTTCTCTGTCCAGTCTATCACTGATGGGCATTTGGGTTGGTCCCAAGTCTTTGCTATTGTGAACAGTGCTGCAATAAACATACATGTGCATGTGTCTTAACAGTAGAATGATTTCTAGTATATACCCAGTAATGGGACTGCTGGATCAAATGGTATTTCTGGTTTTAGATCCTTGAGGAAATCATTCTACTCTTAAGACACATGCACATGTATGTTTATTGCAGCACTGTTCACAATAGCCTATCTTGTTCTACTACATTCCTATTTTGTGGATTCATAAAAGACGTTTTGTTAACAATTTTGTATGTTTGAACTTTCTAAATAGTTTCTGACGTATATAAATGACAAAAGAAGCAACTAAACCTAATTTTGTTTTAACTAGTTTCATATTATAAGTTTTGTCATGATGAAAGTTGCCATTTATATCCAGGAAACATCCCAGTTCTGGCACATTTCTGCCACATTTCCTTCTGCCAGCCCCTCAGTTTTGACCTTTGTCATTTCACACAGAGATAAGCATGATGTACTTTAATAATAAAATAAAATAAATCTCTGGCATAATTATATCCATTTCAGAGTCTGCTTCCTGGGAAACCCAATCTGCAACACTTGTTTTTGACTCCTGTATGGGAATGTTTTATTGATTGCTTCTCTCACCCATCCCTTCAACAATTTTATTCCTAAAGGTAATGACTGCTTCTCTAGTGCTTTGGAATTTTATCCGAAGTTGCTAACACCTGCTCATTTTGCAAGTTTTGAAGCTGGTACCTTTGACCTTCCATGTTAAATAGACAATGGCTACGACATCACCACTACAAACTGGCCACCTAAACGCTACTGTAAGAGGCCATTGTAACTCTCAGCCCCATTTCAAAGGTATGAAAAATAGGAGGAAAATTTGCATCTTTCAGGGTCGTTTCTCCTATTCCTCTGGGTTTCTTTTGGATGTAAGAGGTTCAGATGACTTCATGGCCTTAGGGATGGGTATTTTGTCTGTGGGCTATTTGACGCAAGGCTGGCCTCTGCCAAACAGCCTTGTCCTGCTTGGCCTTTGGCAGTGGCCTCTTTCCTTGGTGGCCAAAGGTCGCAGCTGGTCTATTTCTTGACCTGTGCTTAAGGGTCTCTGGGAGTTTGGGGCCTCATCTCAGTTCTGGCGATCCCTTGAGATCTGTCTGTGACTTGGGCCCTCCAATTCAGGTCTCTGTGCCCCTTGCCCTTGTGAAGTCTTCCACTCCCTCTTAGCTGTCATCTGAGAAACACTAGGTCCTTGCAGTCTAGGTTAGCCCTGCCACTATTTAAACTCCATGCTGCTCACTTCATGTTGGCATAGGACACTTAGAGAGTTTTCTTCCTTCTTAGGGCTCCAGGGGAGAGGCAGGGGTTTCATCAGACCCTCAAAACGAAGTCCTTCCTTCCCGCTTCAGGGTTTCAGCATTAGGAGCGGGCCGGACCAGAGCCCCAATTCAGAAATACTCACCTGCATCTAAATTTCTTACCTTTCTTCAAACCTTCTTTCTGCCTTATGTGCTTAATTTTTCGAGTATGAAAATTGCTTTCACATCATTTTTTGGGTCCTCTCAAGTCTGTGGTTCATAGTACACATGTTTGTGGTTAGTCTAAGATTGGCTGTTGATATTTAAACCCGAGTTTCTGGAATTCTAAGCCAACTGACTTCTTCCTTTCTTCTTTCTCTCCGTCTCTTCTTCCTCCCCCTTGTCTTTCTCCTTTGCCTTCTGCTGAAATCTCAACAAAGCCTGACCCTTTCAATAAAAAATCCTTTATGTGTGCTGTGAGTTAAAAATTCTGTTCAGCAATTCAGTTGACTTACTTGAATCAGTTTGTATCAAAATATTTTCCAGACTCCAGATACATATCACACTGTTCTCTGCAATGAATTTATCTTCTGTCTCAGGTCTATGAAACATTTAATAAGAGTGATCAGTTATTAAGCCACAAGAAAAATTTTAACATGTTCCAAGAACAAGAAATCATGCAGGCCACAATCTTGGACCACAGTGCAGAGAAACTGAGCATTAATGCCAAAACTTTAAAAATAATAAAAAACCAACACACTCCTATGTAACTTTTAGATGAAAGAGAAATCAGAACTATAATTACAGATTATACAGAAACAATGAAAACAAGAACATTATATAAATTAGAAGGCCAAGGTTGTACACATAGAACAGCTAAAGTTTTAAGGGCTTTTATAATTAAACAAGAAAAAAGAATAGAAATAAATTTTTCAACTAGAAGTTAAAAAGAGAGCCAAGAGAATATGACTAGGGAAATAGAAAGAAGAAATTGAGACTAAGGCGGAAATTAATGGTTAGAAGAGAGAAAATTCAATGAATTGGATACAGAGATGGTTCCTTAAAATACCAGAAAAAAAGAGAAACATCTGCAAAGCTAGTCAAGATAAATAAGAGGAACAAACAAACAATTGGGATGAGAACAGAATATAATGACAAGTAAAAGGAAGATTTACAGGTTTATTTTGTAGGTTATGTTGAACTCTGTGCTAAAGTTGTGAAATCTGGGTAAAATGAATGATATCCTAATAAAACATGAACAAACAAAATTTATTAGAGAAGAAGAAAATATAAATATACTCATGATCTTGGAAGAAAATTTAAAAGTTGTCAAAGCTCTCCCAAAATGCGTCTAGATTTTACAAGCTAATTCCATTAGAACTTCATGGAGCACATAATTGCCATGTGGTTTAGACTGTTCAGAGCATAGGAAAAGATGGAGCATGATCCACAATTTTGTTAAAGTAGCATAATCTTGGTATCAAAACTCGTGGCAGAAATCTACTAAAATCTCAAATATGAATATGGTTCCAAGAATCCCAGGTAAAATACTAACAAATCAAATTCTACAGAACAACAAAATAACCATGTGATATCAGGGTTTTTCTAAGAATGCAGGCATAGTTCAATAATAGAAAAATCTCAAACATTGTAGGTGGGGAAATAAATTGATACAGCTTTTGGGGAGGATAATTTGGCACAACCTATCAAATTTAGAAATGCATCTAATGTGTGACTTGGCAATTCCTGTTACAGTTATCTGTATCCTAAAAAAGTTATGGGCACAAGATGTTAGTACAAGAATGCTTTTACTGCAACATTTTTCCTTGGTAATACAAAAAAAGAGAAACAGTCTAAATATTCATCAGTAAGAGAATGATTAAATCACAATGTTACCACTGTACTAAAGAATACGTGGTAGGAGTTTAAAAACACTGTGTTACTCTCTATGTACTGAAAAAGGAAAAGCTCTGATACATTCAGTTTTTTAAAAAAGCGATAAAGCAAACAAAAAACTAAATTTGTATCTAAATCATATTATAGAATGATCCCATTAAAGTTAAAAAATAGAGCTATATATTTAGATATCTACACATGTAAATGTAACTGAATATAAAGAAGATCTGTCTACAAAAGATAACTTGAGAGATGAGAATGGGACCAGTGAAGATAGCAGTGGGGGCCAAAGAGATGGAAATTTTTTTTTTTTTAAATACAATACTGCTTTTTTTTCTTTACAATGTTATTTTAGGTTTAAGGGGTACATGTGCAGGTTTTTTACATGGGTAAATTGCATGTTGTGAGGGTGTGGTGTACAGATTATTTCATCACCCAGGTAATGAGTATAGCACCTGATAGGTAGTTTTCTGATTCTCACTCTCCGCCCACTTTCCACCCTCAAGTAGGCCCCAGTGTCTGTTATTCACTTCTTTGCGTCCATGTGTACTCAATGTTTGGCTTCCACTTACAAGTGAGAACAGGCAGTATTTGGTTTTCTGTTCTTGCATTAATTTGCTTAGGATAATGGCCTCCAGCTCCATCCATGTTGCTGCAAAAGACGTGATTTCATTCTTTTTATTGATGGCTGTGTAATATTTCAAGGTGTATATGTACCACATTTTCTTTATTCAGTCCACCATTGATGGACATTTAGGTTGATTCCATCTCTTTGCAATTGTGATAGTGTTGCAGTGAAAATACATGTGCATGTGTCTTTATGTTAGAATGATTTATATGCCTTTGGGTATTTGCTTTGGGTATATACTCAGTTATGAGATTACTGGGTTGAATGGTAGATCTGTTTTAAGTTCTTTGAGAAATCTCCAAACTGCTTTCCATAGGGGCTGAACTAATTTACATTTCCACCAGCAGTGTATAAGCATTTTCTCTGCAATATACCAGTGTCTGTTATTTTTAGACTTAAGCCAATGTCTAGAAGAGTATTTCTTTTTTTTTTCAATATTTTGTGTATTTAAGGTGGAGAATGTATATTTTGTGTATTTAAAATGGAGAGCTCTATAAATATTTATTGAGTTTACTTGTTCCAGATCTGAGTTCAAGTACTGGATGTCCTTATTAATTTTCTGTCTCATTGAGTCTAAATCTCTTTATGAGTCTTATGTATCTGGGTGTTAGGATCGTTAGCTCTTATTGTTGCATTGATCCTTTTACCATTATATCTTTGTTGCTTTGAAATCTATTTCATCAGATGTGAGAACTGCAACTCCTGCTTTTTATTTATTTATTTTTGGTTGGTAAATCTTTCTCCATCCCTTTGTTTTAAGTCTTTGTGTATCTTTGGATGTGAAATGGGTCTGGATGTAGCATATCATTAGGTTTTGGCTGTATCTTTTGATTGGGGGATTTAGTCGACTTAAATTTAGGGTTACTGCCATTTGATGTTAACTGGTTATTTTATTAACTGGTTATTCAACATCCTTAAGGAACAGAACTTTCAGCCCAGAATTTCATATCCTGCTAAACTAAGCTTCACAATTGAAGGAAAAATAAAATCTTTTATGAACAAGCAAGTACTCAGAGATTTTATTACCACCAGGCCGGCTTTACAAGAGCTTCTGAAAGAAGCATTATACATAGAAAGGAACAACCAGTATTACCCTTTCTAAAAATATACCAAAAAGTAAAGAGCATCAACATAAAGAAGAATTTACATCAACAAATGGATAAAATAACTAGAAGAGTATTTCTTAAGTTTTCTTCTAGAAGTTTTACAGTTTTAGGTTTTACATTTAAGTCTTTAATCCACCTTCAGTTGATTTTTGTATGTGATGAATGGTAGGGGTCCAGTTTTTTTTTTGAGATGGAGTTTCAGTCTTGTTACCCAGGCTGGAGTGCAATGGCATGATCTCGGCTCACCGCAACCTCCATCTCCTGGGTTCAGGCAATTCTCCTGCCTCAGCCTCTTGACTAGCTGGGATTACAGGCACGCGCCACCATGCCCAGCTAATTTTTTGTATTTTTAGTAGAGACGGGGTTTCACCATGTTGACTAGGACGGTCTCAATCTCTTGACCTTGTGATCCACCTGCCTGGGGTCCAGTTTTTATCTTCTGCTTATGGATAGCTTGCTATCCCAGCACTACTTATTGAAAAGGGAGTCTTTTTCTCATTGCTTTTGTTGACTTTGTCAAAGATCAGATAATTGTAGGTGTGCAGCTTTATTTCTGGGTTCTCTATTCTGTTCCATTGGTCTTTATGTCTGGTTTTGTACCAGTACCATGTTGTTTTGGTTGCTGTAGCCTTGTAGTATAGTCTGAAGTTGGGTAGTGTGATACCTCTAGCTTTTTTTTTTTTTTTTGCTTAGGATTACTTTGGTTTTCAGGCTATTTTTGGTTCCATAAGAATTTTAGAACAGTTTTTTTTTTTTCTAATTCTGTGTAAAATGTTGTTGGTAGTTTGATAGAATAGCATTAAATCTGTACATTGCTTTGGGCAGTATGGCCATTTTAACAATATTGATTCTTCCTATCCATGAGCAGGGAATGTCTTTCCACTTGTTTGTGTTATCTGTGATTTCTTTCAGTTGTGTTTTGTAGTTGTCAAGGTAGAGATCTTTCACCTCCCTGGTTAGCTATATTCCTAGGTATTTTATTCTTTTGCAGCTATTGTGAATGATATTGCATTGTGGCTTTGGTTCTCAGCTTGGATGTTATTGGTGTGTGGAAACACTACTGATTTTTGTACATAGATTTTGTATCCTGAAACTATGCTGAAGCTGTTTATCAGATCTAGGAGCCTTTGGGCAGAGACCGTGGGATTTTCTAGGTATAAAATTGCTGTATCATCTTTGAAAAGAGGTAGTTTCACTTTCTCTTTTTCTATTCGGATGTGTTTTATTTCTCTCCCTTGCCTCATTGCTGTAACTAGGACTTCCAATACTATGTTAAATAGGAGTGGCGAAAGAAGGCATTTTTGTCTTGTCCCAGTTCTCGAGGGGAATGCTTCCAGCTTTTGTCTATTCAGTACGATGTTGACTAAATTTCTCATGGATGGTTCTTATTATATTGCAATATATTCCTTGATGCCTAGTTTGTTAAAGGTTTTTAACCTTAAGGGCTGCGGAATTTATTGAAAGTCTTTTTTGCATCTGTTGAGATATCATGTGATTTTTGTTTTTAGTTCAGTTTATGTGATGAGTCACATTCATTGATTTGCATATGTTGAACCAACCTTGTCCCAGGAATAAAGCCTATTTGATTGTAGTAGATTAGCTTTTTGATGTGCTACTGGATTTGGCTTGCAAATATTTTGTTAAGGATTTCTGCATCTTTGTTCATCAAAAATATTCACCTATACTTTTCTTTTTTCATCATGTCTCTGCCAGGTTTTAATATCAGAATGATGCTGGCCTCATAGAATGAGTTAGGGAGGAGTCCATCCTCCTTGATTTTTTTGGAAATAGTTTCAGTAGGATTGGCACCAGTTCTTCTTTATACATCTGGTAGAATTTGGCTGTGAATCCATCTGGTCCAGGGATTTTTCTGGTTGGTAGGCTTTTTATTACTGATTCAATATTAGAACTCATTATTTGTCTACTCATGGTTTCAGTTTTTCCTGGTTTAACTTGGGGAGACTGTATGTTTATTTATTCTAGATTTTCTAGCTTATGTGCATAGAAATCTTCATAATAGTCTGAGGGCTTTTTTTTGTATTTCTGTGCGATTGGCGGTAATGCTTTCTTTCTCATTTCTTACTGTGTTTATTTGGATCTTCTCGTTTTTTTCCTTATTAGTCTAGCTAGTGGTCTATTCTTTCAAAAAACTAACTTTTGGTTTGATTAATCTTTTGTATGATTTTTCACGTCAATTTTGTTTGTTCATTTCTGATTTTGGTTATTTCTTTCTTTCTGTTAGCTTTGGGGTTGGTTTGCTCATGTTTTTCTAGTTCCTCTGGCTGTGGTGTGAGGTTGTTACTTTGAGATCTTTCTAACTTTTTGGTGTCGGCGTTCAGTGCTATAAACTTTCCTGTTAACAATGTTTTAGCTATGGCCCAGCGATTCTGGTGTGTTGTAACTTTGTTTTCATTGACTTCAAAGAATTTATTTCTGCCTTTATTTTATTGTTTACGCAAAACTCATTGAGGAGCAGGTTGTTTAATTTCCATGTAATTGTGTGGTTTTAAGAGACCTTCTTAGGATTGGTTTCTGTTTTTACTGCACTGTGGTTCAGGAGTGGGTTTGTATGAAGGCTGTTATATGGCTGATTGTGCAGTCAGTTTTGGAGTATGTGCTGTGTGCAGCTGAAAATAATGTATATTCTGTTGTTTTGGGGTGGAGAGTTCTGTAGATGTCTGTTAGGCCTATTTGGTCAAACCTTAAGTTCAGGCCCCAAATATATCTGCTAGTTTCTTACCTCAATGACTTGTCTAATACCCTCAGTGAGGTGTTAAAGTCTTTCACTATTATTGTGTGGTTATCTAAGTCTCTTCATAGGTCTCTAAGAACTTCCTTTATGAATCTGGGTGCTCCTGTGTTGGGTGCATATATATTTAGGATAGTTAGGTCTTCTTATTGAATTGAACCCTTTACCATCATGCAATGCCCTTCTTTGTCTTTTTTGATAATTGTTGACTTAAAGTCTGCTCTGTCTGAAACTAGAATAGCAACCCTTGTTTTTTCTGTTTTCCACTGCCTATCCTTTGGATGGGACTTTTTGCTTTTATATTATTTGATGCCCTTGAGGGTTTGACTGTGATACAAGTTGGGTTCAGTCAGCTGGCTTCATTTCTAGATTATTTTAGGGGGCTAAGATTCAGCTCAGCATTCCTGAGCTGTAGGCTGTAACCCTTGGGAACTAGGTCCAGGCCCAACGCTTTATTCTCTGGCCCATCGGGGTTATAAATCTACTGCACTGGAGGGACTGAGATATTCTTGGTCTATTGGCAACAACACTGATCAGGAACACCAGAAAAAGCACTTTGCTGGGACAGTAACAGTGGGATCTGTGCTTGCATGTGCACACACCAGTAGCAGCAGTGCATTGGGGTCTGTGCCTGTGTGCATACTGGTGGTGGTGGGGTGACAGTGTGGTGGGGTCCACATGTCTGCACATGCAGTGGTGGTGGCAGTGTGGCAGAGTTCACACACAGGTATGCCAGTGGTGGCGGGCCAGCAGTGGCGAGTTCCACATGCACGTGCACACTGGAAAAGCAGTGGCAGGATGCTGTGGATAAGTGCACACCAGCAAAGTGATGAGGGGAGGCCGTGGGCAAGTGCGTGCTGGTGGGCACCTGTCAGAGGAGATGTTCTTCAGTGGTTAGTCAGAATCTGCTGATGAAGGAGCTATGGTGGTGGCTGCCAGGAAGTGCCCAGGTTGGGCAACCAAGGCTATGCTACAAGCAGGCATGGCCAGGTAGGGATCCCAGGACAGGCCAGTAGACAGGGAGGTGCTCAGACCAGAATGGCCCAGTCCTATGGGCAAGATAGCCCTACTCTTCCCAGGTCCAACAGCCAATAAAGGGCAGAGCCCACTTAGAGGAGTGTGGCAAGCATTAGGTCATCCCTGGTCATACTCCACTGCAGCTGTTCCCATGCCAGATTCTCTGGGCTCCACCTAGGCAGGAGTTCCATCCCTGCCACCTCTCCAATCAGTTCTCCCTGCAAGTTCAAATGTCTGTGGGCATGGTGGGATCTCCTGCAGTTAGGATTCTAGAGGTCCATGGTAAGAGTGGGCCACTCCTCACCTACTTAACTGAGTGGGCCAGTTTCCTGACAGTCTGGTCTCTCAGTGGGAGATGCTCTGCTTGGCTGCATCTAGCCGACCATCTTAGCTCTAGAACTTTTATCTTTTCTATCTAGTTCTGTGTTGCTTAACATTTTTACCAGTAGGATATGCTCAAGTAATATTTGTGTAACTAAATGGTAAAGAACCATGTAAAGCATTTTACAATGATTCATCCCATCAATAGTCAAAAGAAAAAAACTTACACTTGATGGATTCTGGAAAATTTTCTACCTTCTACTTATTCCTTGAAAAAATCTTAGTAAATAAGGAAGATAAAAAAACTTTTAAAGCAAATAGTATCAGGAATACCTTTCTTAAAATGATGATGGTCATCATGCTTCACAGGGAAAGGGCAAAGCATTATCTAATAAAGTGACAGGCATAAGGCTTGGGAGTCAATAATGTGATTATTATTTAACACTATTCCAAATTTTGGCCACTTCAGTTCAACAGGAAAAGAAAAAGAACCCACTAATCTTGGGAGAGAGAGAGAGAGAGAGAGAGAGAGAGAGAGAGAGAGAGAGAGAGAGGAGAGATCAATGTTGTTAAGAAGGATTATAAAATTTACAGATGTGATAATCTACATGAAAGCCCAAGAGGCTCAACAATAGAAAATTACTTGTATATGCCAATGCTTCCTGCCTCCCAGGCTCTCTGCTAAGTACGTCATAGACATGATCTTATTCACCCTCACAAGAATCCTGTGAGGTCCATTTATTATTGTTTCTATTTTATAGAAAAGGAAATTAAGTTCCAGAAAGGTGAAGAAGGCAGTGACTGCTGAGATGTGGAGCCAGGATCCAACCTGAGCCATCTGACTCTGGAGCTACTTGAGTCTCTCTAGCCCTGTGACACACTATAAAAGCCAAAGAATATCTTCCAGTAAGTTGTTAACATATAATATATTTTTTAAAGCAATAGGCCAGGTGTGGTGGCTCATGCCTGTAATCCTAGCCCTTTGGGAGGCCAAGGCAGGTGGATCATGAGGTCAGGAGTTCGAGACCAGCCTGACCAACATGGTGAAACCCTGTCTCTACTGAAAATATAAAAATTAGCCGGGCATGGTAGCATGCACCCATAATCCCAGCTACTCAGGAGGCTGAGGCAGGAGAATTCCTTGAACCTGGGGGATGGAAGTTGCAGTGAGCCAAGATCACGCCACTGCACTCCAGCCTGGACAACAGAGCGAGACTCTGTCACAAAACAAAACAAAACAAAACAAAAAAGCAATAACATTTATATACAAGATAAATACACAATCTGGAAATATCTGGGGAAAATAACATTCTATTTGCCATGGCAACCAGAATTATGTATTATCCAGCAATATACTAAAAAAGGACCAGCATAAAACTTTATTGAGAGATAAAGAGAAAACGTGAATACATGGAAAAATATGCTCATTTGTAGCTTGGAAGTCAGTATTAAAAAGATATTGATTGTTCTGAAAATGTATAAGTATCTGGTAAATTTCAAACAAATTATCAACGTTTGTCAAACCTTGACTGACTTATTTGTTTAAGAAAAGCATTTTATCTCAAAAACTCATTATATTAAAAAAAAGTCATTAAAAAGTGTGTCCAAAAAATATTTTCTTCAGAAGTAAGCCTTGTTTGTAATCCTCTCTGACATATGCAGACACACATGACTGCTATTTTAGCAAAATAAGGTCAAAGTGACATATGTAGTTGGCTCAACTGGGTCATGAGAATATATTACTACATTTTTAGGATTTTTGTGAGCTGATTGATAAATGTAGTTATTAAAAATCAAATTACATAAATTCACAATTATCTTAAAAACACAAGCAATACATTCTTAAAACTTCTAATCACTTCCTAATTATTGTATTACATTTTTCTATTATGTATGCTTGAGGTCATTTACATCTATGATATCTGCATCAAGGGCATGCTATATAATATAATGGAGTGCTGCTGTGTGTATCTCCCCAACTCTGGATCAGTGACATCATGCTAGTAGCTTGTAATTGACCATGGTGGGAATATTTTGACCACAGAAGTTGGCAAATGCTACATATCAAGGTCTTTTCTTCTTTTCAGAGAGTTGATTGCTAATGTAACAGCACACTGCCAGATTAAAATTATGCTAGCAGAAGTGGTATGTATTTCAACTGTATGTGTGTATGTATGTGTGTGGTGGTGGTGGTGGTATGTGTTTGTGTGCATGTGTGTGTGGTGTATGTGTGTGTATTTTTCAGAAAAAAATGGGGAGAAAAGCAAATTATAGCTCTTAGTTAGAAGAAGAATAAATGAGGATGAGAAATCTAGCTTGTCTCACAATTAATACTAGATGAGGCAAAAAGGGTTTCCTGTGGCAAAGGGTTTAAAAGAGTTATCAAACTTAAACATGTCATGAATGTTTCTTTTATAAACAGAAAATGTTCCAGGTTTGCTGACCTTTTTTGTGATGAAAGTGCTGTCAGTAAAATGTACCCAAAAGATATCTGGAAAAAATAAATACACTTGTCTTTTCAAGGCAAAGGGTATGTTGTAACAGCAGGAACAACAGCCTTTTAAAATAAACTCATGCTTTGGGGAGAGTATACTGAAAATGGAGAGTGAAAGCGTCTCCGGAGTTATATGATTTTGAGGATGAAAATGACGTAAGCAGGCCATCTATAAAACTAACGTATCTGTTTACTTTAAAAACTTGGAAACAGGATGTGCTAATCTTTTGAAAAATCTTCTAAAGTAAACTAGTTTGTTAGTAATGTGAAAAGATAAAAGCTTCTAATTATCTTGTAAGAACAACTGATTGACATCAGGAAAAATGGAAATTATTAGCTGAATTTTAACAAAGACCTTTGCAAGATTGGTGAATGGGGCTGAAAATGATTTTCACTATTTGTAGGCATAGGCCATGAAGTACTTCTTTCATTTGCTATCTATGCATATCAGTGAAGCCCCTTTTCAGTTATTTCAAAACCGAGTACTGGAATAATCTGAATTTAGACCTAGAACTGCACACAGCAACATCACAGTGTTAAATGAAGATTATTTTAAAACATGCATATTTACCTTTGCTAAAACACATTTTTTAAAAAGTGAGGACACAAATATGCTGTGCCCTAATAATTAAAATGAACATTAAGACGTTTTTAGGATAGGTTCATGGGGCACATTTGCAGGTTGATTACAAAGGTATCTTGCATGATGCTGAGGTTTGGAGTAGGATTGAACCTGTCACCCAGGTAGTGTGCATAGTACCCAGTAGGATATTTTTCAACCCTTGCCCTCCCTGCCCTCATCTTGTATTTCTCAGTGTCTGTTGTAAAGCCTGTTCTGAAAAACAGTTTATTAGATATTTGTATTTTCCTTTTAAAATTCCAAAGTGTAGAATTTGGGCTGGCAGCATTGGGATCACCTGGGAGCTTATTAGGAATGCAGAGTCTCAAGCCCCACCCTCACCTTATTGCTTTGAGTTAAATGGAGGAATCCTCAGCGTGGATGAGTTTTGCCATAAGTACAATCAGGAGATGACAGAGCTACTTTGCTCTTTGCTGGGTAGGTAGGTGATAGGGTTGAGATTTTGAAGACTAGAGTAATTCTTGACATTTCAAAGTATGTTTATAATAAAATAGACTTTCTGGGAGTAGATGAAGCCATTACATGGTGTAATTCCCAACCCTACCTTTATGATAGCACCAAATAGGATAATTCTGCAATAATACTAGCTAATATAGAAGACTTATATGTGCCAGGCATTGTCCTAAGTTCTTCTTAGAGAAGAATTTGGACCTAGTCAGTATAGCTCTAGAGCATATGAATTAACCATGATACCACACTGCCTGGGTATCAGATGTATAAAGGAATAGATACCCACAAATTAGGCATGCATCTACAGAGTTTTTTTTTGATGAGGAACATGATTTAAAAAAAGTTGGGGGATACTAGGCAACCAGCTCAAATGCTACTGTGACATAAAAAGCCTTTTCGAATCTGGCCCAACCAATGTCTCTGACCCCACTTCTTGCTCTGCCCCCTTGAAACCTGTGCTTTGAATTCCTCCATCTTGAACTGGCATCCTGGCAGTTCCCTGAATTCTTGATGCTTTATTCCATCCCTGACTCCTATCTCTCCTTCAGAATTCAGCCTGGGTACTGCCTGCCCATCCTATTTAATATCTGCCCTTCCCCCACAAGGCCAGTCCCGACATCCTTTGTACACTGTCAGCATTGTCTGCATACTCTGCATGACACTTGTCCCACTATTTTCTAATCATCTATTCACTTGCTTGTCTACCACCCTTGAGGGCAGCGCTTTATCTTGCTTCTTTGTGTATGTCCTCACCCAGAGCCTGGCACATATTAGGAGCTGTTTGCATGAATGAAGGATTGATGAAAGAGAAAGCAACCATTGCCCTAGGAGTTGTTCTAGGATCTGTTATTTGTGTAACGGCCACCAGAGGGGGGCAGACGAACATGGTCCAGTGCACAGCACACATCTAGAACTCCAGGTAGATCATTCAAATACTTATTCTAGGACTGGAAGGGAAGCTCACTGGTCATGTAGAACATTCTTCTGTTTTAGACAAAAATTAAACCCTTTCAGGTAAGCAAAGTAATATTTAAAGTTTTTAAGTCAAAAAGAATTGTTTGCATCTACACAGACTTTAAATCTGAAGAGTTGGATTCTGGTTCCAATTCTAACATTATTTAGCTTGTCTGATCTCAGATGAGACCCTTGGATTTTGGAGACTTAGTTTCTGAATCTGACAAATGGGCAACATACTCATTTGGACTACCTCCCAGGAGTGTTTTGAGACCCACAGGTAATAATGCACATGAGCACCCTAAAAATGACAAGGTAACAGAGTATAATAAAAATCAATGGGTAAATAAAAATAATTTCAATCTCCCTTGTTCAAAATTAGCTTTTCTGAAATGTGAGTTGAAAGGCAAAGTATGAACACGGAGTTGCAATGGGCATGGACTTGAGAGCATAGATGCATCGAGATTTTAAGCTGTGTATTGTTTGGACCATTTTATTCATTCGGCTCCTGCTTGACCACGTCAGCTCCACTGCCAGAGGCCAGCTAATCCCTCTGCATCTAGCATCATCTATGCCTGGATAATTAACATACCTCACCACACATGTATATTTTTTCTTTCTTTTGTAAATGTGCATGAATGCTATTACAATAAATAAAACACAAATTCATAGAAAAATTTTCCTGAGTTTCCAGTCACATTTACGATAATGTATTTTTTCTTCAGATGGGGTCTGGCTCTGTAGCCCAGGCTGGAGTGCAATGGCACAATCACAGTTCATTGCAATCTCAAACTCCTGGGCTCAAACAATCCTTCTGCCACAGCTTCCTGAGTACCTGGGACTACAGGTGTGCACCACCATGTCCAGCTAATTTTTACATTTTTTTTGTAGAAATGGGTGTCTCACTGTGTTGTCCAGGCTGTTCTCCAGCTCCTGGTCTCAAGCAATCCTCCCACCTCAGCCTCCCAAAGTGCTGGGATTGTACGAATGAGCCACTGCATCTGGACCCATAATGTATTTTAAAAAATCAACATATATTTTAAAACATATTTAGGATTGAGTTGCATTATATGCATACTGAACCTATGCAAACATGACTCTGTGGGTTTAGCAAAACAAAGAAAAAGAAAAAAGAAATTCTCGCAAACAGCAAAACAAAAATTAAACCCACGATCTTTTAATAGAGTTGGTGATTTGGTTCCATGAAGGGATGGCGGCCCAGACTGAGCAGGGACTAGTGGATGTGACTGCTTCCCCTCAGTGGGTTTCAGCTCTTACCAACACCTCTCATAATAGAGTGTAGCTCTGTATTTGTCAGTAATTTAAGAAGTTTTTTTTTTGTTTTGTTTTGTTTTGAGACAGAGTTTTCGTTCTTGTTACCCAGGCTGGAGTGCAATGGCACAATCTCCGCAACCTCCGCCTCCTGGGTTCAGGCAATTCTCCTGCCTCAGCCTCCTGAGTAGCTGGGATTACAGGCATGCGCCACCATGCCCAGCTATTTTTTTTTTTTTTTTTTTTTTTGTATTTTTAGTAGAGACGGGGTTTCACCACGTTGACCAGGATGGTCTCGATGTCTTGACCTCGTGATCCACCCGCCTCGGCCTCCCAAAGTGCTGGGATTACAGACTTGAGCCACCGCGCCCGGCTAAGCAGTTTTAAAGGGAAAGTTTTACATGAGCAATCATTTTGCCTTATATTTTTCTTTTGAAGCCAGCTCACCATAGAAGATGCTATTTCACATGTGAAGGGAACATGACATTTTGGGGAACAAAATAGGAACCATCAGTGGAAACGCTGATCTAGCCTAGAAAAAAGGCTCCCAGTGCCTTCCTAGAAATTGGGGTAGAGCCCAGACCTCTCACTTTAAGATCTATGCTCTTTCTACCCACCACTGTGCAGGTTAACATGAATTGCATTCTGGAGCCTATCCTCCACCCAGGCCTGGGCGAATCGGTGAACCCCTAAACTGTGCATACAGCCGAGGCTTGTCTTTCGGTACAGGCAGTCTATCCCCACACAGTTTGCACCCCCAGATCTTTGTTTTTCAGGGTCCTGCCTGGTCATTATTTTCATTGTCTTTCATGTGCTACCTTTATATAGGAAGCAGAATGTGAGCTGGAAGCGATTTTCAAGTCAGTTTTGAATCTCAGTCAGGGCAATCAGAGGCATGTGGGAAAAGCTCTCAGAGGCTGGGCAGCCTTCAGAAGGCCACCAGCACGTGATTTCCTCTTCTCTCTTCCTCCCTCAGTAATGCGAAGGCCAGATGCATCCTAGCCCCCACCACCTCACCCTCTGGCCTAGTTTTTGAGCTTCCTTTTCCTCTTGGGTGAGGCCATGCTTCCTTGACACTCTGGCCTCTACTCCTTGAAGGCCAGAAGTCACTCCTGGGGCGGAGGAGGACCAGTCCGTCAACAAGAAGGGGAGGGTACTGGGGCGGGGGAGCAGCAACAGCAGCTGGCAGGCCCAGGATGTGAGCGGGCAGGCCTCAGTGGGCATTGGGACAGTGGCTTGCTTACCCCTCACCCTCTAAACTCAGGAAGGCTGACTTCTGCCCTCTCCGGCGGGTGAAGTCATCTCTCTGTGAGGGGAAGTTCAGCACTGAGCTGCCACAACAAACCCTCCAAATGCCAAAAGAGGTGGCGGAAATTAGGATTATCATAGCTCCAAAGGTTTACTGACTGTCTTGAAAATCTGAGTAAGCTTCTCTCAGAGGTGGCGGAAGTTTCCTCCAGCTCCCATTGCTGGCTGACCCGAGCTTCTGGGGCGGAATTTCTTTAGACCCCAAGGAAAACTTGCCAACCTTGAAAGCCTGTAGATACCAGAACAGGCTGTGAAGACAGCGGAGTCTACTTTGGAGGTCTTTTAAAATAGGATAACTTGTCTTCACTCTGTAATGGTCTGGAATGACAGTCTGTAAAAAAAAAAAAAAAAAAAAAGAAAGGAAAACATGACAACCACAAAGCTCTTAATTTGCACCAACTCTTGATCTGAAGCTGTTGTAGATTTGCTTCAAGTCCTCACATTCTTTGATTTCCTGTACAATATTAAACACATATTGAAGATGCTTTGCAGCACCCAGATACTGGAGCTCCAGCGTAGAGGAAGGAAATGAATATTTGGCAGGAAAATCCCAGGGACACAACTTTGTTTGGAACATTATGTCTACCACACAAATGGAGGTGAAAATTCACCTCTGAGGGGCTGATAGGAGTTTTCCCCATTAAGTAACCTCTTCCCTCCATTTAATTGTGAGGAAGTTTGTAGCCTCTGCATCCTCTCGCCAGGCTCTGTCCTCGTTTCCTCACCTCTTTTGTAATCTAGGTTCCAAGACTTCCAGAAGACTCTCTTGATGGGTCTTTACTCCCCTATTCCTGCTTTAACAGAGGCACATGGAGGCAGGAAGTGGGACGAGGAAGGCAGCTGAGAGGCGGTCAGGGGACACTGACCCGAGACTCCCCTTCACTCCCTCTGCCTTCTCCAGCCATACCCTCAGATCTGTGTCTATACTTGGCTGTGTTTTCTGAACCCAATTAATGACATGGGATCTGACAAGGACAAGTGTACTTATGGGCAAAGTGGATGCAGTGTACTTGAGACTGGTTCTGTCCCAGGGAACTGGGAATCCCAGTGATGGGTCACACACAGATCTCCTAACTCAAAAATCGGGTGCCTGCCAATTTACTTCTTTAGACCTTGTCTGTGTGGCAAGGATGTCACATACAAACAAATTCATGTGTAGATGAGGCCATGCCAGTCATGACTTAGGGACATCAAATAGTGTGAGAGCTATTTGAGGATGTTGGGCAGCCCTGGAAATGCTATCTTTGATAGTGTCCCCACCATCCCAATTGCAGTAAAAGGGCCTTCCACCTCCTTGGAAAGTACATGGGTGCTGCAGTTGACATCATATAATGTTTAATGTGCTTAAACATTTACTGAATTGTATTTATTCTGTTTGAGTGACAGTATTTTTTTTTTCAGGTCTTAAATGTTTCTTAGGACATTCAAAATTACTCTGCCTGTAGATCCGGTGGATAAAATGTCCTAGGCATTGAACACTGGCTTTGAGGACTCAACATGAAAAATAAAGTATGCATACTCCTTTAGCATATGCTCTGCAGTCCAAATGTAAGCATGACCTTAAAATGTACTTTTGTGGTGAGGAGAGGACAGTGGTGCTGCTGAGAGAAGGAAGAGTCTCAAAATTTCCAGCGAAGGGAAATTACTCCACTCATCCTGTTTTCCTTGGGAGTGAATGGAAAGCAATCATGTTAATTAAAGGGGAGCAAATGTCCTTAGGTTTGCCTTTATTTGGGGAATACTTTCTGTTTTACTTTTGGGGATTCTTCCTAAAATGTCCCTTTAGGGCTGCTTCCCCATCGATAGGGGTCTATGACTTTGGTGCTATGGTTCCCTCATCACAAGTCTTCCACTATGAAGGTTTCCAGGACCCCCACTGTAGGTGTGAGACTTTCCATTTGTAAGGAATGGAGGGGAGTAGTCAGTTGAACTTTGATGGTGGGCATTCACATTCATGGTAAGGATACACAAGAAAAGTGAGGAGTGCTGTTTTGTTTCAGCAAGTGCAGTTACCCACTTGACAAACATTTGTTGAGTCCCGACTGTGTGATGACCGTGTGGTAGGAGAGAACACGACAGATAAGGTTCCTGCTTGCATGGAGCTTGGCTGTTTGATAGATAGTAAACAAAGGGCATAAATAAACGAGGTGATTTCAGATGGTGGTAAGCGCTATGAAGAAAAGAATCTGGTGACGTGGTAAAGAGGGATAGGGAGAAGAATGTGAGATGGTTCAGAAAGACTTCCTAAGAAGTAGCATTGTAGCCAAGCCTTGAGAGTGCTAAATGAGCCAGCTGGGAAGAGGTCTGGGGGCAGGATTTTCCAGGCATAGGAAAGTACTGGCCAAGCCCCTTAAGCGAAAGCTTTGGCAAGTTTTAGGAACACAGCGAAGGCCAGTGGGGCAGGAGCAAAGGGAGCAAGGGTGAATGATGGAAGATGAAGTCAGACCCAGCGAAAACCAGAATGTGTTCACCATTGCGCCCAATGGTCGCTCTGGTGCTCCAGACATCTTGTCCCCACAGAATTGAAATCCGTTTCTTTCTACTCCATTGACTGTCACCCTCATGACTCAGTAGCTTTTTGAATGAGCTTCTCTCTTTCACTGCCTCATCATCAGCATCTTTCTGCTTCTCTATCCCTCTCTCAATTCATTTTGCTTTAAAAATTCCCAAGGGTGGGGATCTGGGTATGTTGGTTAATACTATTTAATAAGAAGTGGTCCTATTGGTCAGAGTCTCACACTAGGCTTTCTCATTGGCTGCTGGTCTCCCTTAGGTCCAGCTTCCCTGGCCTGGACTCCTGGTTCAATCAGTTGCGGCCAGGGTGTAATGAGCTAGAGCTTGGCAGCTTATTTTGAAGGAAAACTGTAATGACTACTTTCATCAGGATCAAGTTGTGTATTGTGTACTGGGTCAAAATTAAAGAGACGGACAAAATTCTTAGAGGTAGGTTATATATCATCACCTTGCAGGCTACAAACCTGATGGGGCTTTTTACAAAGGGCTTAGTTCTTAGCTACTCACTGAACCTTCCTCAGAGACCACTGAGTCTGATCCTTTACCATCCAGATCTAAACACTTAGAAGTCAGCTGTCCAGTGTAACCTCTTCCTATTGGCTTTTTCTTTCTGCCAATTGTATCTTTCATCCCCACATGCATTTATGCTGCGTCCTTGCCATTTTCTTTCTCCTGGACTTTCTTTCTGGACTGATTGTGTGGATGGCTTCAACATATAACAGAGCAGAAGCACTTTATGTAAGAGAACTGCAGCTTCCACCTGTTGGAACACCTCTTCATGGAACCCAGATACCATGCTGCAAGGAAGCCCAGTTAGCCATGTGAGAAACCAAACTGGATAATGGAGGCCTCCAACCAGCAACTCCAGCTGAGCTCCCAGCCTGACAGCCAGCACCAACTGCCATTTATGTGAGTGAAGCCATTTAGGGCCTTCTAACCATCCCAGTGCTGCAGCCAACCTTAGTTTAGTATACACACACCTTACCCCTGCCAAACCCAGGGAGGTATACAATGCTGGGTCAACCCACAGAACTGTGAGAAATAGCAAACTGTTTTCTTCAAAGTCCCTAAGCTTTAGTGTGGTTATATGAAGTGATAGTTAACCTTGTAAGGGACAGCAAGTAGATTACACTGAATGCATCATATTTGGCCTTATAGAACCTCAGAATTCAAGGGCTGTAGGCCTATGAAAATTGAAAATGAAATTTTCATTTTACTTGATAATTGCTTCTTTGGAGAATCAATAGAAGAGACTTTCTATCCTAATGACAAGCAGCCGAGGCCACCCTGGACCCTATTGTGGTGGTGGAGATTTAGGGAGAGACTGCAGGCATAGCAAGGTGGGGAAGGGAGGGAGCTGGAGTAAATTCAGGTGTAGATAGGTAAGATTGAGTCTGTGACATTTTACTCAGAAGGTTCAGAATTTGGCATTGTTGTTTCCTGTAGAATGAGGGAAGTTCACATGGATATTATTTATTATTCAGATGCTAATTCTTTGGATGGTGAAATGAAAAACCTCCTGCTTTCTCTCTCCCCTTTCGTTTCACTTTCTGCTTTGCTTTCCTTTGCTCATACTATTCCTTTTTTCCTTCTTTTTGAAGGGAAGAAACAGCAGCAATGTCCAAACCTGTTTTTGTGCTCCAGCCTGAAATTCAAATTTGGTCCTTACCCAAAGTCAATATTTTGGGAGAAGTTTGAACTAAGTCATTCATGCAATCTTGGGTTTCAAATATGAAAAATCCCTACAGTTTTCTACTTAAAAAGAAATAAAAAGTCTGAAAACGCTGTACCAAAAAGCTATCAACCATTGGAGGCTGTCAACTTCAAACTTGGCAGGAAAAAATAATCACCAAAGGAGGAAATTCAAGTCAAGTGTGGCCAAAGCTTGTAATGTGTTAAAGGCACGTAGACCAGAGCTCATGCAGGGTATTGGCAGGTGAAACCCTGCACTGCAACTGACCTGTCACTGTGCAGGAACCTCTAGACAGGGGCCTCTTGTTTGGATAATTGTGGTGATCTCATTAATTGGTCTCCCTGATTCAAGTCTGTATCTTTTTAAAATCACAAATCTGATCAGGTCATTTTCAGTGACTGCCCGTTGTCCTCAGGATGAATCAGTACTTCTCAGCAGGACTTAAGAATTGACAGCCATGTTCCAGCTATGATTCTCTCTCTGGCCACATCTCTGGTCACACCCAAACTCACACCCCTTTCCTCAGTCACACTGAGCTTCATGATGTTCCAACAATGTTCATTGCTCTCCAGCATAAGTCTCTGTACATGCTGTTCTTTCTCCTGGAACTGCACCTCATTCCCAACTTATCTGTCCACCAAGAATCATTTCAGATGTCACCTCTTCCAGGAAGGACTAGAAATACCCCAGCTGAATTCCCACAGCATCTGGGAATTTATCATGTTGTATAATAATAATCAGCTTACACATATATCTCTGTTACTAAACTGTTAACTCCCTAAGGTCAGTTACCATGCTATATTTAATTTTTTAATTCTTAAAACCTAACACATAGTGCCTGGCTTATAATAGATGCTCAATAAACCATTTTGAATAAAAAATTAATGAATGCCCCTGAACCCCACCTACATTTTTGCATCATGGGGAGAAACCAGAGGGATGTAGGGTAGCAGGGCTTTGAGGTGACCACAGAGTCCAGACACTGAGACCAGAAGACAATTTTATGTTCATGTCATAGTTTTGCCAGGAATTAATTCTTCCCCGAAAAATGTCTCCCATGAGAACCTACACCCACAGCCACTCAACAGGACAGCGTTCTTGTTTTTTGAAGTCTTGCTACAAGGGACTCTGTCGCAAAGAATTGGAATTTACTCATTTAATTAACAAAGATATTCTGAGCTTCAGCTGTGCCAGGACTTGTACATATAGAAACATGAAGGCAACATGACTTGTTTTTCTCAAGGAGCTTATAGAGTGGTGGACAATGGGTAACAGGATTTGGTTTTGATTTGACGCTAGTCTGGGGGAGGGCCTCCTCATTTACTGGGGACTCAGTGGACCAGTGTTAATTCTGCTCTAAAAAAAATTAAAATTTTTTTTCTAGGAGAGAAAATTAAAGCTCACCCAAGAAAACAAATACAGATGATGTATCTCATCATGGAAACAAAAGGTTTTGTTTCCATGATGAGATATGATACATTAACAAATAAATAAGACACCAGATGCAGATACTTAGAAATCAGGAAATTCATCATGTGCTTCCTGTATATATAACTCAGTCACAAGGATGGAACAGACTTTTCTGCTTAAAGACTGAATATGTACCTAAAATCCTTGAGGATTATGGTCCAAATTCTGTTTGTGGGATAAAATGTCCTCGAGTGAGATGTTTAGTATGGGAATGGGAGATGGTGAGAGCCTAAAATTGGTCTTTTGTTCTCTAGATCAAGCCCAGAACTGATGCTGGGAAGGATTTTATTATGTAAACAACATCAATAACTGGAACTATGTCAGTGGATCACAGGAATATAAGTTAGATATCACAGGGCAGAATTCCACCTAAAGTCATTGCAAGGAGAGCAGAAAAATATGCCCCAAATTCTCCTCTGAATGCCATCCACCTAGTCACCTATCCAGTCTGAAATATCTACTCACTTTTGCTTTCTTCTCAAAGTTAAACTTCTGATATCTAGAAATGTACTTAAAAGGGGAACCTGAGGAAAGTTATTTGCTTTCTAATAATATTGTAAATTATTGACTGTAATTATTCCCTCACTCTGTCCACACCCTTTGCCATCTACATTTACTATCTATGTTTGTACTTCCCTGACCTAGACTTGTGCTTTGGCCAATGGAATATGAGTAAAAGTGATAATATGTCAGGTTTTGAGTCTTTGTCTTAAGTCACAGTACTTGATTCTGTGTACCTCTCTTGCATCTCTGCCATTAATATGAGAAGAGCTTGTCCTGGGTAGCTTCTGCCTCCTAGTAATGATGGACACACACAGAGTAGACATGAGCTCAAAATCAAATGAGGAGCCAAGCCCAGGTATATCTTCAACTTGATTCAGAGACATCTAGCTAAAGCTAGACTAGATTAGCAGAACCACAGCCAACTTTTGAACATACAAGCAAGAATTAATGATTGTTGTTTAAGTCACTCAGTTTTGTTACCCAACAATAACTGGCTGCTACAAATAATAATAATAATAACAATAATAATAATAATAATAGCCAACTTGCCTATAACTTAACCAAGATCATTTAGCTAGTGACCAATGCAGATGGAATTCAAATCTGGCTCTAAATTCCATGCTCTTAATCACTTCCTTATATGACCTTGAGAAATGATCCTAGTTAATACTTGGGTGAGTTGTTTTCAGGCAGAGATTTTTATAAAGAGAAGATGAGAAAATACATAAATTTCTTTTTACATGGATTACAGAGAAGAGAGCTATAAGTCATACCAGAATAATTCACTCATAAGAAAATTCAGTCAGGTTCCCCAGATCTGACAGAAAGCATATTAAAATAGAAAACTAGAAGAAAGCAGGATTCAGGATTTAAAAATAGCAGGCCATAAAAAATAAGGATGAAGGGCTGCCCAGTGTGACCACTATCATGCCAGAATTTGTCTGCCATTTACTAGCTTTGTGGTCTTCTCTGTGCCTCAGCTTTTCATCTATGAAATAGTAATAATAAAAGTAACTACTTCCTCCGACTGTTTAGAGGAGTGAACGAGTTAGTGTGTGTCAAGTGCTGGGAACAGTGTCTGGCACATTGTAAGCAGTGTATGCATGTTAGCTTAGTGGTTCCTCTAGGAGGAAGCACCATGCTTACCATCTGCCCGGTATCTCTGACTCCACCACTGTGACGCTTTTGTAATGTGTCAACTTAGCTACTAGAACTACATTTCCCAGAATTCCTTCCCTATATGGTCTAGATAGAATTGCCATATGAAGAATCTGCATGAGATTTGGAAGGTGAATGTGGAGCATCAGCCATCACTGTCTGGAGGTCAGTGTCAGGCACAAGGGGCTGCTGCAGCTTCACTCGTCCTGGACCTGCACAGGACAGCAGCTGGGCCTGCACCTCCTCTCCTCCTTCTGGACCTCCTCCTGTAGCTGCTCTGGCCAGGTATATGTGTCGCTCCATGATGGAGGATCCAGCTTGCAGGTCACCCATGTGGTTGAGATTGAAATGGCAGAAGACAGATAGGGCTTGGAGTTGGTCCCATGGATTTCAGTTGGGCCTCATGGAATCCCGTTTGTCTTCACAGATTTTAGTGCTCCTTGCTTTTCTGCACTTCACGTCCAGCTTTCCATCCAAAAGGCCTGGCCTGCTGACCCATAGCAACTTCAGGATTGGCCCACCAAATGCAGAGGGATCAGCCTAGCACAGACATCTCCACGAGCTCCCACCATGACCCAAGGTCTAATCTCTATTGCAGATCTGTGTTTTTCTACATCACTCATGGTGGTCATTTGGCCCTGATTGAATCTTGGCTGATACATCCCTCACCCCATTACCTTGTGAGCTGGATATAAGACAGTGGTAGCATGGGAAGCTCAGGGTTCTGTGGAACACATTTTGCATTTATCATAACTTTAAGCATTTTGGATCCCAACTACCACCCTTTGCCTTCTCACTATTTTCCCAGAACTTCTCTGTGGGAGGACTTTGAGCAATAAGGAAAGAATATTGACTGCTGAAATCTCCACAGAAAAAATATCCAATTTCTGGCTTCAGCACAGGGGTGGGTGGGGTTAACCACAGATTTGTCATCAGGTTTTAAAATCAAAGCAGTAAGATTTTCCTAAAAATAAATGAAGAAGAAAAAAAGAATTCTATTTACCTCAATATTGCTGTTTTCACAATATCTGAGAACAAGTTGTACAGAGTAATACAAATGCTAAGAAGGTGGGTCCGAATGAAATACAGAATTCATAAGAGGATGTTGTTACTCAGAGGAAAGGCAGCCCAGTGTGCTTCGAGATGGTATTGCAGCAATGAAAACAAGCTCAATGTTCATGTCAGATAAACATGAGTCACAGCTCTGGAAGGTTAGCAAGTGACTCATCTTCAGGACTGGGCACTTAGTGAAGACAACTGTTTACCTCAGCCCTGCGGTTGTGGACACAAACATTCTTTTCTTCCCTTGTGACTGGGTCACTGGGAGATGCTGGTGCAGCCACGTGCATCGGCACCCCAGCTTCCACCACACAGACGCTCACCTCTCCTGCCCCATGATGCCTTCCACTCTCTGCTCTCAGCCTTTCACTGTCCTTAGGGGTGGAAATTCTCTAAAATCAATGGGTTTCCTGGTAAATGGGGGAGAAAATACTTCAGAGCCTCTCCTTGCAAGGAGGGGCCATTGTTAGGAACTTTTGGGCTGACATGCTGTGGCTGAGTCCAGGGGGCAACAAAGAACAGACCAGTTTCAAACTTGGTCAGCTAGCCAAAAAAAAAAAAGGAGCTAAAGGGAGTGTAGAGACTCTGGTGGAGGCCGGGCAGAGCCAGAGTCAGGGAGAGGATCCTCCCCTGTCAGTGGGTGGTAGTGAGGACTGGAGTCAGGGCCACAGCAAGGTCAGGGATGGAGGAATGGAGGAGAATTCATGCAGGAGAAGCTTGGCTGGAGCTGTAGTGAATCAGAGGGGGCATCACCAGCAGGGCTCTGGCTAGTTGCACTATTGTCCTTTTCTGCCTTGTCTGAGTTGTTTTGTTACCAGAACCCAGAGTGTCTACTGCTGTAGCCATAGAGGCTGACTGCTCAGGAAGCAGGGTGGCAGTGGAGGCATGTCATCCGGAGAAACACACATCCTTGCACCAGGACACATGAACAACAATGTCCACAGCGGCATTGCTCATAACAGCTCCAAGTGAGAAATAGCCAAATGACATCAGCCTCGGAGGTGCTGAATTTATAAGTAAGCTGGCTGTTTATACAGTGGAATAAATACTATCTTCATTTCCTAGGGCTGTCATAACAAATTAGTGCAAACCAGTGGCTTAAAATAACAGAAATTTATCATTTCACAATTGAGGAGGCTAGAAGGCTCAAATCAAGGTGTGAGGAGGTTGTTTCCTTCTGGAGGCTCTCAGGGAGAACCTGCTCCATGCCTGTCTCCCAGCTTCTGGTCTTTGCCAGCAATCCTTGGCATCCCCTGGCTTGTAGCTGTCATCACTCCCATCTCTGCCCCCCTCTTCACATGGTGTTCTCCTTGTTTTCTCTCAGTGTCTTCACATGAACATCTTATAAGGACAACAGTCACTAGACTTAGGGCCCACCCTAATCCAGTATGAGTCATTTTAACTGATTACATCTGCAAAGGTCCAAATGAGGACCAAATGAGGTTTCCAAATGAGGTCACATTCTGAGGTTCTATGTGAATGTGAATTTTTGGGGGGACACTATGCAACCAGTGCAAATACTATACAACCATGAAAATGAATGAACTACAGCTGCATGCAGCAACATGGTGAAACACAGACATGATATTCAGGAACAAAAGTTAGGTGCCAAAGAGTGTGTACTGTGGTGTTACACTAGGCGATTCAAAGTCAGGGAGAGTTAAACTGTAGTGCTTAGGAATGCATACTTTGTGATACACAGGATATATGTATCATAATGAAAAGCAGGTAAATGATTCCCATAAAAGGCAGGATAGGGGTTACCTTTAGGAGGGAAAGGAGTATGAGAGGGGTTCCTGGGATGCTGGAATGTTCTCTTTCTTCACATGGCTGGTGGTTGCAAGAGTGTTCATTTTTTGATATTTCATGAAGCGGTTTTATTTTCTGTACCTGCTATTTTTCACAATAGAGCAAGGGGGTGACAGGTAACCTGCAGTTCCGGGTTCTGGCACCAGTTACTGAGTTTTGGGTAAGTTGTCTCCCTGGACCTCGGTTTCCTCATCCATAAAATGAGGAGGCTGGAGACAATGCTCTCCAAGCTCATTAAAATATAACTCATTTAATTCTCCAGGCATTTCTCAAAGAGAGGAGGACCCCCCTCTCTTTGTAAACATTATGTTTACAAAAAAGGAAACTCTTGAGAGAGTCACCGTAACTTAGTTAGACTTTGAAACCAGAAGAACCTGGAGTTAAGAGGTAGAGGTGAAGTGCAGGGGGACCCAGTGATGACAAAGGGGTTTTCAGATCATTCTGTCGTAAGGAGCAATTCAAGAGAAGAGGTGGGTTTGAGGTGAGGTGGGGTTGGGTAGACAAGCTTCATTGTGGAGACACTGTTGGAAGTGAGATGTTGGTGGGATACTATGTGGAGAGTCTGCTAGGCTGGAGCAAGTGCTGGGCTCAGCCAGGTCTGGACTAAGCATGGACAACTTGAAATCAAGTCCTCTGCTTCATGGCCTGGGATGGGTCTCACTTTACTCTGTCCTTACTGGGATTGTTATTCGTAGTGGCGTGACTTTGGAATACCGTGTCAACCCTTCTTCCATCCTGATTTCTCTCTGGACTTGCACTTCTCACCAGTGGGCTGTCACTGGTTCTTGGTCAGTGACATACGAGATTTACGACTTCTTTGGAGCTAACTTTATGTGTAGGTCATCTAAATGGTAAACCTCAAATGTCTCACTGCCTGGAATCCCATCACAAGGAATGATATCCTTTAGATCCAGCATTCCTCTCCCCATGGCCTTTTCAAAAATAAATGCCAATGCCCGCGAGAGGCTAAACAGAGTAATTCTTCAGCCTTTAGTAGATTAACATCTTACATGTTTTCTTCTGTGACAGGAGGGTGAGATAGAGGAAAACACTGGCATCTGAGCAGTAGGGGGTGGTGGGCAGCGAAAGGGACCAATAATCTGTGTTCAAAAGGCAGGCTAGGGCAGAGGGGATACATTTCATATATGTTAATATCCTGAAAATTTTCTGACAATGTACAGCTCCTATCTCTTCTCATGTACAGTGAGTCCTCATGTAACATTTCTGATAGGTTCTTGGAAACGTCAACTTTAAATGAAACCAATCAATAGATGAATTGAAATAAATGAGTTAATTAAGTTCCTATGGCATATTTCTGGTCACAAAAACATCACCTATTGATGGGAGTATAAATTAGTTCAACCATTGTGGAAGACAGTGTGGCGATTCCTCAAGGATCTAGAAATAGAAATACCATTTGACCCAGCAATCCCATTATTGGGTATATACCCACAGGATTGTAAATCATTCTGTTATAAAGACACATGTACACGTATGTTCCTTGTGGCACTGTTTACAATAGCAAAGACCTGGAATCAACCCAAATGTCCATCAAAGATAGACTGAACAAAAAAATGTGGCATGTATACACCATGAAATACTATTCAGCTATAAAAAAGGATTCACATGAGTGAATCTGGAAACCGTCATTCTCAGCAAACTGACACAGGAACAGAATAGCAAATACCACATCTTCTCTCTCATAGGTGAGTGTTGAACAGTGAGAACACGTGAACACAGGGAGGGGAACATCACACACTGTGGTCTGTTGTGGGGGTGCTAAGGGAGGGACAGCAGGGGGTGGGGAGGTTGGGGAGGGATAACATGGGGAGAAATGCCAGATATAGGTGATGGGGGGAAGGAGGCAGCAAACCACCTGCCATGTGTGTACCTATGCAGCAATCCTGCATGATCTGCACATGTGCCCCAGAATCTAAAGTACAATTAAAAATAATAATAAAATAAAAATTTAAAAAGATGTTTAATTTAAAATGACAAACTTAAAGCTATTAAAAAATGAAAAAAATCACCAAACTTCTAAATAAAGACCAAAATAGTTTTAATATTAAACATTGAAATAAATGCAAGCTATACATAGATGTTAGAAAGATTAATAAAAACAAGTAAGGTCATTATTTATCAAATTCTTTGTGGAATCAGTGAGTGATGGCAGCGACTGTTGTTGGTAGGTTAAATCAATGAATAAATGCTTGCAAGGCAAAGAAAAGTTTCAGGAGCACCTCCTTCCACCACACAGTTCCAAAACAAGCCATCACAAATATGGCAGGCTTGCTGGGTGCTTTTGTCTCCCATCATTTATAGTTGCACATTTGTATAATTATTGTAGACATTACAAATTTTTATTTTATAGTCATTTGTATCTATTCATTCATTCTTCTCTCAACCCACTTATTCCAGTTCAGCACTGTGGGTGGCCAGGGCCTCTCCTGGCAGTTCAGGGCACATGGCAGGAACCAGCCCTGGACAGAACACCATTGCATGGCAGGATGCATGCACACACACACGGTCTCACTCATGCTGGAGCCATGTAGACATGCCATTTCACCTCATGTGTGCCCCTTTACAATGTGGGGGGAAGCTGGGGTACCCAGAGAAAACCCACAAGGACATGGGAAGGATGTGCTAACCCCATGCAGACAGTGGCCCTGGCAGGGAGTCCTATTTTTTCCCTCATCACCATTATGATGAAATGACATTGAACAAAATGAATTGTTCGAAGACCTGATATACTCACTAGACTGGAGGGAAAGGCCTACTATATGCAAATATCAGGAGGCTATTTACAAACATTAATTCATACAAACCTCAGAACAACCCATTTCACAATGAGAAAAGAGCATCTCAGAAGGGACCACTTGCTCAACCAATGAGTAGGGGGTAGCAGAGCACAGTGGTGAAGCATCAGCTGTGGTGGGTTCAAATCCCTGCTTACCAGCCAAGCGACCTTAGGAGAGTTACTCAACTTCCTTCTGAAACCGTTTCCTCCTCATCCTCTTAGGGTTGGTGGGGATGATTAAATGGGATGATTAAATATGAAGGGATCAATGCTCTGTAAACTTTAATTGTACTCTTAACCTTGCTAGGCAGAGGGTAGGCCCTGTGGGTACAAAAACATCAGCACAGGCTAGGCGTGGTGGCTCATACCTGTAATCCCAGCACTTTGGGAGGCCGTGGTAGGGGGATCATCCGAGGTTAGGAGTTTGAGACCAGGCTGGCCAACATGGTGAAACCCTGTCTCTACTAAAAATAAAAAAATTAGCTGGGAATGGTGATGCATGCCTGTAATCCCAGTTACTGGGGAGGCTGAAGGCAGGATAATTTCTTGAACCCAGGAGGCAGAGGTTGCAGTGAGGTGAGATTGTGCCATTGCACTCCAGCCTCGGTGACAGAGTAAGACTCCATCTCAAAACAAACAAACAAACAAACAAACAAACAAACAAAAAAACACACATCAGCAACAAGATGTCTCCTCCTGTCCCTCCAAACAGACAACGGGGTGTCCCAGATTAGCACAAACTGGGATTTGGAGTCTGGCTATTTGTGGAACTGGTGTTTGTGATTTTGGGCATCTATTCTTGAATCAATAGGCATGAGACCTTTTGTGTTTTGATGGAAGGAGGAGAGATGAATTTCTTTGGAAGGGCTGAGAGAGAGGGGCTTGGAGATGGACTGGAGTGTCTGGGGGACATGAATTGTAGAGGCTAGGCCAGAACCAGCCTCACGCTCCCTTTACCACTTGCCCTTGGAGGGAGAGATGCACAGGTTAAGAGCATCTTATTTCCTCCTCTTTCTTCTCTGGACCAGCAGGAAGAGTGTCTAGAGCCAGGATCTGTACTTCCAGATGCCTGCCATACCCTCCAGCCCCCAGCTCCACCCTAGTGTGAAAGGAAAGGCCAGCTGGCACCATCAATAGCTAGCTTGTCAGCAGCAAAACAACCATCCCATTGATCAAGGAGGCTGATTTTCTGCCAAACACTGGGAAGGCTTCAGTGCACATTCTGGTCAATCCCAACTGATTCTGGGCTTGCAGTTCTTGCTAGATTCTTCCCTCCCTGTTTATTTGGTTCTATAAATGTGGAATGCATCTATTTGAAATCTGGACACCTAGATCTGGATGGGCTGTCAGGCTGGACTGAAGGAGTCCTCTTCAAAGATCATCCTTCATGGCTGGAAGGAAACCGAATAAAAAAGTTGAGGTCTGGCTGAGTGTGATGGCTCATGCCTGTAATCTCAGCACTTTGGGAGGCCAAGGCGGGGGATCACCTGAGGTCAGAAGTTTGAGACCAGCCTGACCAATATGGTGAAACCTCGTCTCTATTAAAAATACAATAATTAGCTGGGCATGGTGTGCATCCCTGTAATCCCATCTACTCAGGAGGCTGAGGCAGGAGAATCACTTGAACCTGGGAGGCAGATGTTGCAGTGAGCAAAGATCAACCACTGCCCTCAAGCCTGGGTGACAGAGTGAGACTACGAGACTCCGTCTCAAAAAAAAAGTGAGGTCTAGCCTCTGCTGGAGGCCTTGGGGCAGAAGACAGGGCTTACATGGTTGGCCAGCCCTCCTGCTCAGCCTCTGTGCTTCCTATGCATGTCACTTCTGCTTGGATGTCCAGAAATTTCTAAAGCACTCTTTCAGGATTGTGTTCAGACACTTTAGGGAGGCCTATGGGATGCCAGTTTCATGTGTGCTCTTGGAGTGCAGTGATGAACTGGGGGGTTGCTGACACTTCACCTGATGAAACAATCCCCTTGCCTGGAGACTGCCTTGCTTAGCTCTGTCAGGGGTGTGTTTTTCCATCCTCCTGGGTGTGAACTTCTGGGGTTAGTTTTGTGTCACTTTGGATCTTGGTGAAACAACGTGCAAAGGGAAGATTAATGGAAAAACTCCCCTCCCAAATGCCTGGAAAATATGTTCCCCTTTTCAGCATGAGAACTAAGAGGAGTGTCAGCTGAATGGTCTGAAGAGAAGAGGAAGTTAATGTTCTCTGTCTTAAATCAGGCTCCTGCTCTGCCCTTTTTACTGGGTCCCTCCCCTGGGTAGGACTTCACTTTTTTTCCCTCTAATGGTCTCTGCTGGACCTCAGAGGTATCAAGTCTGTCAGCAACTGACTTGTGTTCAGCCCCCATCCTGTGCTAGTCTTAGGCAGGCTGCTCTCTTGACAGCTGATCTGTGGGACAAGCCTGCATGGAAGATGAAAGTGACTTTATTTTACATATTAGGAAATTGAGGCTCAGGGAATTAATATTCTTCCTGGAGGTCACACAGCAGCTAGATGATGAAGCTGAAATTCAGATCTATTCTCTGTGGGTTCTTCCTGTAATGCTGCATGATGCAAGTTCCTGGCATAGGGCCTGGCACACTGCAAAGCTCACACTTGTGAGAAAATGAAAGAAGAAAGGAGCCTGTGAATGGAGGCCTCTGTAGGCTGCATGAGCTGCGCTGACGTCATTTTAACATTTTTACTTCTTGTGAGGCCTTCTCATCACAGTGCCTCTGTTTCCTTATCAGCATAACTGACGGGAAAATGGTTGTTCCTGCCTGTGACTCTGGTTGGTGGGAGATTGTGAGGGAACAAGGAGGACTTATGAGTTAGGATAGTGAAGCCACTTAGCTGACAGTGTGACCTCATGAAGAATACCTTACATCTCTGAACCAACACAAAAGGCGAGTAGTCCCTTCATCTTGATATTTTTGTAAAGATTAAATGAATGTATGAATGGATGCATATGGTAAATAAATAATTAAATGCAAAGATTAGATACCAGATGTATTTAGGAAAGCCTCTAGTACATGGTGGTGCTTAGTCATCATTTTGTTTTGGTTTATTTTAAAAACTTTAATTCAGGGAGTCTTGTGCCTGGGAGGGGGAGGCATCTCACGGTATGGACATTTTGCTTGGCAGTGCATTTGTCTGGGAATTGGTCCACAGCCTTTATTTGATTCTCAGAAAAGGGTTCATGACCTCAACATGCTTAAGAACCACTGCAGTTGAATTTGATTTTTGACCCATGGTTAAAAACCACTGAACTAAGAATATATTGTGTCTGCATGTTTTTGGAATTATGCTGGGGGCTATTTAAAACAAAACAAGGAGAACATGAGGAATCTTTTCCTTTTCATATTTTAAATATGGTCAAACTTGTAAGTAGATGCACTGACAGAGGTATGCTCTTTGAAAGGAGAAGATGCGTGACTGAATTAGGTACATATAGATCAATATCAGAGGTAATGTTTGAGGGGAGAATGCAGAAAAAATAGTTAAATATTCCCTAATAGTATTAAAGCAATAGATATTAGCTTTTCTATTTTAACTTTTCTTCCAAGAGTGTATCTAATAGCCAGCTATTATTGGGCACTTACTAGCGTCAGGGAGTGGGTGGTTTGTTCTAAATGTTTAATCCTGTTTTAATTCTTATGACCACGCTATGGAGTAGACACAAGCACAGGCATCGCTCCATATCCACGGGGAATTTGTTCCAGAACTCCCCATGGATACCGAAATTTATGAACACACAAGTCCCTTATATAAAATAGCATAATATTTGCATACAACCCACACACATCCTCCTGAGTACTTTAAATCATCTCTAGATTACTTATAATACCTAAAACGATGCTTACACATCACTTCATTTGCATGAATTCAACATAGTATTCAACAT